ACAGGAGAGCCGGTCTCCTATCCACTCCACTCACCGCGCCTGAAACGCATCCCATAGGATCTGAATGACTGGCTGCATGCCATGTGTGACTCACCGCTGCATGCCATGTGTGACTCACCGCTGCATGCCATGTGTGACTCACCGCTGCATGCCATGTGTGACTCACCGCTGCATGCCATGTGTGACTCACCGCTGCATGCCATGTGTGACTCACCGCTGCATGCCGTTAACCAACGTGCAAGCACAGCCCTTCGATGCGCCAACCCACTCTCCACCCCACTCACCGTGCGTAAAAGGCGTCCCACGGTGCGTAAAAGGCGTCCCACGGTGCGTAAAAGGCATCCCACGGTGCGTAAAAGGCGTCCCACGGTGCGTAAAAGGCGTCCCACGGTGCGTAAAAGGCGTCCCACGGTGCTTGAAAGGCGTCCCACGGTGCGTAAAAGGCGTCCCACGGTGCTTGAAAGGCGTCCCACAGGATCTGAATGACTGGCTGTAAGGCCTCTCACCCACCCACTCTCCAATTGAACTCACCGTGCGTAAAAGGCATCCCAGAGGATCTGAATCACCGGCTGCATGCCGTTGGTCACCGTCGTGGGCGTCTCCCCGTCAACAGCGGTGGCAAATATATCATCCACGTTCTGAATGCAGAGCGTGAAGACCACCAAAAGCAGCCACGCCACGAACGTGACTGTAGAGAGCGACGCCACGATGGCGGCCGGCGACGTGCGGTCGGACTTCTTTGTCTCTTCTGAGAGATGTGCCACACCGTCGTAGCCGTAGAGGGAGTACTGGGAGACCAGGAGGCAGAGCACGAAGGAGTAGGCCTGTAGAAAGGGAGGGGGGGGGGGGGGGGGGAGAGGGGAGTGGTTGAGAGATGTGCCACGCCATCGTAGCCGTAGAGGGAGTATTGGGAGACGAGGAGACAGAGCACCAAGGAGTAGGCCTGGGGGAGGGGTGGGGTGGGGGGCGGAGGGGAAGGGGGGGTAGGTGGTGAGTGGGGGGAAGGGAATGAATCACATGCGCCACGCCGTCATAGCGAGGCAGAGCACGAAGGAATAGGCCTGGAGAAAAAGAAGAAACGGGGAAGGGGGGGAGAGGAGAGTGGTTGAGTGGTTGAGAGGTTGATAGATGTGCCACGCCGTCGTAGAGGGAGTATTGGGAGACGAGCAGGCAGAGCACGAAGGAGTAGGCCTGAGGGGTGGGGGGCGGAGGAGAAAGGTGGGGTAGGTGGTGAGTGGGGGGAAGGGAATGAATCACATGCGCCACGCCATGGTAGCCGTAGAGGGAGTATTGGGAGACGAGCAGGCAGAGCACGAAGGATTAGGCCTGAGGGGAGAGAGGGAGGGAGGGACGGAGGGAGAGGGGAAAGCGGGTGAGGGGGGAAGTAAGGTTATGCGACACGCCGTCGTAGCCGTAGAGGGAGTAGTGGGAGAAGAGCAGGCAGAGCGCACAAAGGAGTAGGCCTGGGAGAGGGGTGGGGTGCGGTGCGGTGCGGTGGAGAGGAGCGAAATTGATTGACCTTTACGCGCCAAACAGTCGTAGCCGTAGAGGGAGTATTGGGAGACGAGCAGGCAGAGCACGAAGGAGTAGGCCTGGGGGGGAGGGAGGGAGGGGGAGGTGGGGAGGAGAAAGGGAGCGAAGTTGTTAGGAAGTCAGGTTATATCAGCACCAGTAGAGGGAGTATTGGAAGACCAGGGGGCAGAGCACAAAGGAATAAGCCTGGGAGGAGGAGGGGGGAAGGAAGGAAGGAAGGGGGAGGGGAGGGGGGAAGGGCGTGGTATGTAGGGAGGTTGGAATAGGAACAGGTTGGCAGTGACACAGCAACGGGCTGTGGTAGCCATACAGGGAGTAGTGAGATGGGAGAGCAAGAGGCAAAGCACACAGGAATGGGTCTGTAAGGCGGCGGTATGAGAGATGAGATTTAGTCGAGTGGAATGAAACGTGGGGAAGGGAGCAGAGTGGAACAGAGAGAGGATAAAAGATTGGAGGAGAGCGGAGGAGAGTGGAACAGAGTGGAGGAGAGTGGAACAGAGTGGAGGAGAGTGGAACACAGGTTGACTCACCGGCGTGGGCAGGGTCTCACCGGCGTGGGCAGGGTCTCGTTTGAGAAGAGGGTTAGGAAGACGTATGAGGCTGGCTAGTGGTAGGCTGGTGTGTGGGGGCGACTAGGAGTAGAGTGAACGGTTTGCAAGGAATTAAGTGAAGCAGAGCGGTGCAGAGTGGTGCAGAGTGGTGCAGAGTGGTGCAGAGTGGCTCACCGGCGTGGGCAGGGATTCGTTTGACCAGAAGGTTTGGAAGACGAAGGAGGCCGGCTGGTGCGTGGGAGCAACGAGGGGCAGCGTGATGATGAGCGCCACTGCTCCCAACACCTGGAAGGGAAAGGTAGGGGGGGGGGGAGGATAGAGCAGAGGTCCATGCATGTGTGAAACTGATACGGTTAGCGTGGGAGCAACGAGGGGCAGCGAGATGATGAGCACCACTGCTCCCAACACCTGGAAGAAGAGGCGGGGGGGACAAAGCAGAGGTGTGCATGTGTGGATGGACGGGGTAACGGTAAGTGGGGGCGACGAGGGGCAGCGTGCGTGGTGACGTGCGGCATTGCTCCCAGCTCTGAGAGAAGGGGGGAGGGAGGAGGTGAAGTGAAGCAACAAGTCACGGACGAGTCACAACAAGTACGTTGCGTTGAGATCACTTGTGCGGGTTTCTCACAAAGACTAACAGACCTGGATGGATGCACGCTGAGAAGAGCATGACGTGTATGAGGCAATGCGGATGGAGCAGGAGAGTCTCAGAAGACGGATATTCATGCACAATGATCGCCTGGCATACAGGGGAAAGCGCTGCTGACCTGGATGCAGGCGGAGAAGAGCATGACGTATGAGACGATGCGGATGGAGCAGCAGTTGATGAGGCAGCAGATGAGCACGACGCCGCACGCGATGCCAAACACCTCGTAGTGATCCAGCATGAACCCATCGCCGTTGGCCCCGCCTGTTGGCGTGGCATGGCAGGGCAGAGAGGCAACATAACAGAGCAGGGCAGAGAGAGAGCACAGACAGCATGAGCAGTTGATGAGGCAGCAGAGCAGACAAGATGAGCACGACCCCGCATGCGATGCCAAACACCTCGTAGTGATTCAACATGAAGCCATCCCCGTTCGCACCACCTGGAGAGAGCACAGATGCAGCAGCAGAGCACAGACAAGCAGCACAGAGAGTATCCAATGAGGTGGCAGATGAACACCACCCCGCATGCAATAACAAACACCTCATAGTGATTCAACATGAAGCCATCCCCGTTCGCACCACCTGGAGAGAGCACAGATGCAGCAGCAGAGCACAGACAAGCAGCACAGAGAGTATCCAATGAGGTGGCAGATGAACACCACCCCGCATGCAATAACAAACACCTCATAGTGATTCAACATGAAGCCATCGCCGTTCGCACCACCTGGCGCACAGAGTCACAGCCATGCAGCACAGAGTGGTGATGGGACAGGAGGAGACAAGATGAGCACGACCCCGCATGCAATAACAAACACCTCATAGTGATTCAACATGAAGCCATCACCGTTAGCACCACCTGGAGCACCGAGTCACAGACATGCGGCACAGAGTGGTTACAGCATTATGGCATGGCATGCTCAATGCAAGTGCGTGGAAGCATGTGCATGTCCATGTGCATGTGCATGTGCATGTACCTGTGCTGATGAGGATAAGTACTTGCAGGATGGTGACGCCGTAGTAAGACACCATGGCATGCCCCACTGCAAGCCCCACAAACTCCATCCATGCCTGCACGGATGGTGGATAGGATAGGATAGGATAGGGGCATGATGTGTGTTAGTGATATTACATGGATGCGCGTCACCATGGCATGCCCCACAGCGAGCCCACAAACTTCATCCACGCCTGCATGCATGGTGATGGGTTCATGATGCATGGTGATGGGTTCGTGATGCATGGTGATGGGGTCATGATGCATGGTGATGGGGTCATGATGCATGGTGATGGGGTCATGTGCGGGGCCATCACAAGGGCAAAGGGAATGCGTTCGGGCAAAGGGTGAATTCATAAGGTCCTGAAATCGCATGCACACTTGCTTGTGTACAGAATCAGCTTATGGAGTCATATCATGTCATATCAACCCTTATCCTATCGAACGACACAATGGGAGCACTTTAAAACAGTGTTCAACTGATGGTGCCCCACATCATACCATATCATACCCTTATCCCATCGAATCGTATCATATCCCGTAATCGGTTTGAGAGTAAGTATCAATGGACAAGCCATGATGCTATGGAATCCGGCGTGGGGTGCTTGATTGGAGGGTGAGGGAATGGGACACTCGTGGACACTCATGGGACAGTCATGGGACAGTCATGGGACAGTCATGGGACAGTCATGAGACACTCATGGGACACTCTAAGTGAAGCCATAACTGAAGCGCAATCACATTATATGGTGAATCAAGTAAGATTGCATTTTTTTGGTGAATCTAATCAAATCGCATCTCACCGTGATGAACGATGCAAGTGGGCCCCACTTCGGCCCTGCCAGTGCTGCCGCCCAGAAATAGAGAGAACCAGCTGTCTGGAAATAGGAAAAGGCGAGGGGGACAGGGAGAGATTGTGGGAAAGTCGAAGGAAGGGGGTTGAGCGGGGAGGGTAGGAAAGAAAGAGCTCGAAAGAGGGGAGTGGAAGAACAAGAGAATTAGGTGGAGGGGTGTGGAAACAGGAAAACGTGGGGGGAGGAACGAAGGGGTTGTGGGGGAAGGGGAGGAAAGGAAAGAGCTTGAAAGAGTGGAGTGACAGAACAAGAGAATGAGGTTGAGGGATGTGGGAGAGTGGGGTGGAGTAGGAGCATAATGGATTGAGGCGGATGGGCGGAGGAGGGTAGGGTTGGAAAGGTGAGGAGATTTCGACATGCTGAGAGCCAAGAGATGGCTTTCTAACCAGCACCAGTCTCCACCACTCTCAACAGTTCTCATTCACTTACTGGAAAGGAGGAGGAGATTTCGGCCATGCTGAGAGCGATGAGGTGCACTGCAACAGCTGTGATCCACCAGTACCAGATCAGCCCTGCTGGGCCGCCATCGTTGAACCCTTGTCTGTTAGTGTCGGGGAGAGGACGAGAGGAAAGGGGTGAAATGAAGTGCAACGAGGTGCAGTGCGGTGCAATAAGGTGGTTGAGGTAGTGCACTGAAACGGTGCTCCCACCACCGTTCAATAAGGTGCGGCTGTGATCCACCAGTACCAGATGAGCCCTGCTGGGCCGCCATCGTGGAACCCTTGTCTGTTCGTGGAAGGGAGAACAGGAAATGGGTGCAAAGAGGTGCAATGAGGTGCCATGTTGAGAGCAATGAGGTGCACTGCTACCGCTGTGTGATCCACCAGTACCAGATCAGCCCTGCTGACCCACCGTCGTTAAAGCCTTGTCTGTTGGGACAGCGAGGGGGGGAGGGTCAAGAAGGAAGGGAAGGGGGGGTTTGGGGGGGTGTGGGTTGAGATGGGGCAGGAAGGGAGAAGTTAAGAGGTGGGGAAGAAAAGTTGTCAACAGTACAAAAACAGGGAACGATGGGCAGGGCCAAAAACAGGGAACGATGGGCAGGGCCAAAAACATAATCTTACTCTAGGTGGGTGAGAAAAAGTCTCATTGACAAATAAGTGTGATAAACAGTAGGACTTCGAGAGCAAATATAACAAAATAATTATATAGAAACGTAAAGAAAGATTTTCAGTGAACAGGATGCAGGGAGACAAGAAACTGCACTTTCGCGTACAAAGGGACAAGGAACAGCACTTACGCATACATGGGGACCACCCCCGCGAACACGCTCATCATGCTGATGCCCGTCGCGTACAGCTGCGGAAAATGCTGTTTGCAGAGAGAAACGACGATAAAACGGGGGTAGAGACGGATAACGAGTGATCCAAAAGCAAAGGCAAGTGGAAAGCATCACACAGCGAACGAACTGAACAGTTTGAAGGAAGAATGATCCTGACATGCGTTGAGAAGTTGTTGCCTTGATTTGGTCCCTTCGGAAACACAAATAAACAGGGTACAAGTTAGCAACCCTAAATCCGAAACCCTGTTTCCAACATACGATGGGCATCAGGAAACGCTTGAAGGGAGATGAGAGGTTGGGTGGGAGGGACTGTGGGAGGGAGGGAAAGCGTCAAGAACCCGTGCGTTTCGCTTACCAGAGAAACGTTTACGAGCCTTCGAACCGCCCTTCTCAAAATATGCTGGTTACTAGTACTACAACGTTTACGAGCGTCCTAACCGGCCTAGTCTCAAGATATGCTGCTCACCAGAAATCGCTTCAGCTCCTGCCGATAACCAAGCTCGTTGAGCCGCCTTGACTTGCGCAGCTTGCAAGGCGCTTCAAAAGGCGCTTCTTCTAAACCCACCCAAATTGTACATTTCGCTTTTACCTGGGAACGCCTACCAGGGAAACACGTACAAACGGAACGTACAAACGGAACACTTACCAGAGAACGCTTCAGCTCCTGCCGGTAACCAAGTTCGTTAAGCCGCCGTTCGCCCGAGTCGAGCGCGAGCGACATGGTAACCCCATCCTCCATCGTGATTTCGAGAATCTTCTGCTCTTCGCCGATATCCTCGTCGTGCCGCTCGATCATCGCCACCACCGCGGCGCCTTGAAACGCGGACGCCTCCGAGTACAGCTGCATCTCCTCGCGCTCCATCGCGCCGCCGTCGCCGCCGCCGCCGTCCGCGGCGCTTCCGTTCTCCTCCGCCGAGCCGTCGCCACCGCCGTGCTCCTCGTATTCCTCCGCCGCGCCCATGGCTGAAAGCGCGCCGCGAGAAAGAACGAACTCTTCTTGAAGGCGGGAACTATTTGTATGTATTAAAAGACGTTTATACGCGTCGCGCGCACGGCCGGAAAACGTTGGCTCGAACCTAAAAATGTCACGGGAGGGAGAGGGAGGAGAGTGAGGGAGGGGGGGGGGAGGAGGGGGAGGGGGGGGAGGGGGTGTGGGGGGTGGGGGAGAGGGAGGGGGGGGTGGACGCAAGGACGCACGGACGGACGGGATGAACGAGACGGAAAGGAATGGACGGATGTGGGCTGAGCTTATGAATCGCGGTTTGGTTCTTTAGCGGCTGAGCTTGGAGCTGTAAATGAGGAGCTGCGAACGACTGGGGCATGGAGGCAATGCAGGCGCGGCGCTGGAAACGACTGGCGCGCGGCGCGTGCTGCTACGTGCAACGTGCAATGCGCTGAGCAATGTTTTACGTGCAATGAGCTGCGGCGGATTGCACGTTGCACGGATGATGCCTATGCGTCGAAGGAACGACGCGAAAGTGTCAGTGGCCTCGGTCTGTCAAGCATTTTGCGCATGATTTAGGTACCCCTTGAAGTCGCTGTCGAATTTTTTAGCAGACTCAAAACGGAAGTGACTTTAGAGCCAACACGACGGTCATCCCATTCTGCGCATCATGGCTTGCTGATACGTACCTGCTCTTAAACGTCTTCAGCAAGGTGAATAATGTAGAGCTACTATCATCGAGGCTTTCTTGATTCGCGCCACGAGCTCCCACTACGAATTCTAACGGATTCTAGGAGGATTTACGCACGACGTGGATAGAATGGAAGCTTTTGAGCAGCCGATTTCTACTATAGCAGCAGTTCAACAAAGATGGAGCGAGGGAAGGGGAGGAACGGCATGAAGGTCGGTGAAAAGAGGGGATGAGTTGAGACCGACAAGGCTAGGTGGGACCGAGAGGTCCTGGGAGGTAGTTACTGTACTGTAACTGCAATGGACGATAATATGCAAACGTGCACCCTGAGGCTATGGCGAGGCGAGTGTGGGCTGGGTTTGCGGGTGCGACTCGACTCGACTCAAGCGAGACAGGCTGGAAGGGCCATCATGAGAAGCGACCCTCCCTCCCTGACGGGGCTTGAGCGGGAAAGACTATTGGAAGATACTTACTCTTTCAAAGAACACAATGGTTACCATTGAAGGAAAATATTACAGAATTCATGGGGTATTTATTCCCGCCGTCCTTGAAAAATTGCTCCTGGTACAAAACATTTGAGTGGGCAAGAATGGGGCATGAATGACGCTAAAGTCACAACTGTCGGAGGTGATGGAAGCTATTTGTTGAATTTGTTGGTTCGAATGGGAAACGGCTCCAGAAAAACTACATGAGAGTAGATAGAAAATGCGCGGATTTGAAGTCATACGATTTTATCATTATTTTACACCAGGCAGGCAAACAGCTGGGAACTGCGCATAATGAGCTGGCAAAAACAATATGGGCAAGTGGGGAGAAGGGAAGGCTGCCCATTTGTTCTCCAAGGAACATGTAATAGCTGCGAAGAAGAACGAGGAAGTGCGAGAAGTGGTTGCGAAAAACGAGTTGACCGTGAGACAGCTCTTTCCCCAATGGGTATACAGTGCAATAGCTCGTTAGAGGGAAATTGGGTAACAAGGGCTGGTTGGGTGGTTTGAATGTCAGGTTCGGAAAGGATGCGAACCACGCTCACGAAATCAATTTGCGACGAAATAGTGTCGCCTGGCAAAATTGGGGTGATGGAAATGATAATTAGGGCGTGGAACATTTCGATTTTTTCACTCGAGTTCCGTACGAAGCCCCTGAGTTCCGCACCGTTGTGCGGTTCGGGTCCAACCGAACGGCGGTTCGGACCCAGCCTCGTCCGGTTGAGAAGTTGGTACATTTGACTCGTTTTTTTAATTTGGATTTCCGAATGGCACTGTGCAGTTTGGAACCGTCGCACGAGATACAATTACAAAATCGCCTACAAACAATTACCACTTGCAATACTTGCATGCGACGTCGCCTGACACTGTGCGATTTCGCCAGCACTCAGTGGCGCTGTTACTGTACCTCTGGGTTCCGAACGAGGCAATTCCAACTGTTCGCCCTGTCAGTGCGGAATTCAAACACTCAAATGTTCCAACTGGGTTCCGCACGATGACGCTGTCGCAGGTCCCTGCGAGTTTTGCGAAACTTAACGAAAACTGTCACCACACCGAGTTCCGAACGGTGCCGTGGTACGCACGAGTAAAAATCGAAATGTTCCCCGCCCCGGATCGATCGTGGGAGGGGACGCGTCCTTAGAGCGGGCACTCCCATCAAGTTAGGCGATCGATCGTGCAATATTGATCGGATACCGCACTGGAAACCTGCAAAACCTTTTCTGACCTTTCTAAAACCCGTCAAAAAACTAACCTACGGCAGGATCAATCACCCAGATCGATGCGAGTGCCCGCGTCCTTAGTAGAGCGAAAAACTGCTCGTACTTGTGTTCTCCACCACGTGTGGCGCACCACCAATGTTCCCGCATAAACTTACTAAGCTCACCAAACGATGACCTTAGGTCTTGAAGCGTACCTTACAAACGGTCCCCTGCCGCGGAATCGAGTGTGTCGGAGGCGCGGGATGCGGATGTGCAGCACGAAGAGAGTGTGCGCGTCGAGTAATACCAACAATGCACGGAGATCCTAGATTCCCCTCCTATCACGCGGCCCGTCGACCTCGCAGTTCCCATTCCCATCACCCGCGACTTTTCCTCCCGTCGCCCGCAATTCTTATTCATGTCTCCGTACAATCCGCTTGCTGTCGCCTTCCCGACGCCGTCAATTCGCCTTCCGGCCGTCCGCACTTCCCCTTCCCGTCGCCCCCACTACCTCGTCCAGTCGCCCGCACCTTCACTTCCCCGTCGCGTCGCCCTCACTTCCCCGTCGCGTCGCCCTCACTTCCCCGTCGCGTCGCCCTCACTTCCCCGTTGCGTCGCCCTCACTTCCCCGTCGCGTCGCCCTCACTTCCCCGTCGCGTCGCCCTCACTTCCCCGTTTCGTCGCCCTCATTTCCCCGTCGCGTCGCCCTCACTTCCCCGTCGCGTCGCCCTCACTTCCCCGTCGCGTCGCCCTCACTTCCCCGTCGCGTCGCCCTCACTTCCCCGTCGCGTCGCCCTCACTTCCACGTCGCGTCGCCCTCACTTCCCCGTTGCGTCGCCCTCACTTCCCCGTTTCGTCGCCCTCACTTCCCCGTCGCGTCGCCCTCACTTCCCCGTTTCGTCGCCCTCACTTCCCCGTCGCGTCGCCCTCACTTCCGCCTTCCCATCTCCCTCACTTCCCCTTCCCGTCCGTTCAACTCCACATTCCCCTCGTCCACAAATCACCTATCCTGAGCCCTCACTTTCCGTTCCCAAAGCCCGTTTCCCCCCTGCCTCCCATCCGTTTCCCACCTGCCTCCATTCACTTTCCCCCCTGCCTTCCTTCAGTTTCCCCCCTTCCTCCCATCCGTTTCCCACCTGCCTCCATTCACTTTCTCCCCCCTGCCTTCCTTCAGTTTCCTCCCTTCCTCCCTTCAGTTTCCCCCCTTCCTCCCATCCGTTTCCCCCTTTCCTCCCATCCGATTCCCCCTTTCCTCCCATCCGTTTCCCCCCTTCCTCCATTCACTTCTCCCCCCTTCCTCCTTTCCGTTTCCCCCCTTCCTCCCTTCAGTTTCCCCCCTTCCTCCCATCCGTTTCCCCCCTGCCTCCCTCCGATCTCCCCCCTTCATTGCCCTCACTTCTGTCTCCCGCCGTATACTTTTCCTTCACACACTGCTGTTTCCTGGAGACCATACAATCCCCCTTCACTAACCCGATTTCTCCCCTGCTCGGCTCACTCTTTCCCCCTCCCCGATTTCTTTCCTGCTCTGCTCATTCTTTCTCCCTTCACTGACCCAAATGCTCCCCTGGTCAGTATCTATTCCCCTTCACTCACCCAGTTTCTCCCCTGCTCCCTCTCTTTCACCCCCCTCCTCACTCTCTCCCCTTTTGCTCATCCCAGTTCCCCCCTTCTCCCTCTCTTTTCCCTTTTTCTCACCCATCTTCCCCTCCGCCTTACTCTCTTTCCCCTTTGTGCAACCCCTTCCCCCCACTCGCTCTCTTTCCCACTCATTCGCTTTCCCATTTCACTCCCACCGCCCCCCCCATTCTACCCCCTGTTCTCACCCCTCTTGTCGCCCTGCTTACATTCCCCTTTGCCCATCCCTTAGCGCTGTCGCTTCCCATGCCCTTCTGTACGCTTCACCTGTCACTACTGCCGTCACATCTCCCCCCCGATTTCCTTTCGGACCGTATCTCAAGATTGGTAGAGTGTACAGATGCACCAGGTGTTACCACGGGTCCTTGGTCCATTGCATGCAGTGCAATCAGCAAGGTAGATTCAGCTTCCTTTCTGCACTAACATATACAATACACATATGGAAGGCCACTGGCCAACATACCATAATCAACTCAGCAACACCCTCCCCTTAGTGTTCCCCTATACCCCCTAATCCCTCCCCAATCACCTCCCCCGTACCTCCCCCCTCCTCTCCTTCCTCCATAAACATCTGTCCCCTGCGCTCCACTCCCATACTCAAATCTCATTCTATCTAACCTGCATCTGCACACATTAATCTTCCTGACTACTTCCATTCCATCGCCAACTCATAGACCACCACTTCAACCCAATAGACGCCTCCTGCGCCCTGCCTGTATTCACCAGACATTCATGGGTATAGGGACCGTTGAGATTCCGTGCACCTGAATGTGCTTCGTCAGGCTCATGTTCGCCTGGTTCAGTGGCCCAAACGACTTAGCTCCAGGGGCTTTAAAGTAGCATTCCTTTTTGGCGTAAGCATTCATCTTCACCAACTTCTGGCCCATGTTCATGGTGCGGAACTGCCACATCGGCACTGTAGCAAGCAGCCGATTTTTGCTGAATATCCCCTTTATGATCAGATTCTTCAGTATCCGAAGGCGCTGCGTCGGAGTGTACGCCTCCCATTTCTTTTTCATGAACTGATTGCCGATGTTGCCCGGAATGAGGATAGTGGAAGGGCCGTCGAGGGTGATGAGCTTGTACCTTGCTGCACGCGCAACCAAAGAAGCGACGAAAAAGGATTAGGTTAAAGTGACGCAACAGAGCGTGTCGATTGAAGCTAGAATGATGTTTTCCTTTCCTCCGCAAAAGGAAAAAATGATATCGCGAAAGAGCGCGTGCACGTGATCAAGCCTTGAGCGTCTGGGATCTCAAGCGGGAGCGTATACATTTACTGGATTCAACGCAATAAAAGTTTTGCACAGGAGGCCGGAGCAACGGATCTTTTCATTTCGCGGTCAAGCTCACCTGCGGTGTAAAATCGTTCGGCGAAAACAGTATGAAATTTGTAAGTTTTATTGAGGTCTTTGAGCGCCGCTACGAGCTCCCATTGCGGAACGCCAGTGGTCTTCTTTGGCGGCTTAGGGGTTTGTTTCCGCGCTTCAACGCCCCTCACGGCGTGAGGACTCGGCGCGAGAAGCACTGTCGAGACGAGCAGAACTACGACAACAAATGCTCGCGAACACGTGCACGGTTCTGACATGCTGCGCGGCTTTGGAGTTAAGAAAGAAACGGTTCTAAAACTAGTATCGCCGGATCGACTTCGGGCTCTGCGAAGCTATACTTGTCACACAAATTCTGGGACTCTTTAAAAGATCGTGAAATCCTGCCGTTCGTCAAGCATCGAAGACGATGACTGTGAATGTCGGAAGGAAGGACGAAGGCAAGGGAGACAAATCAACACCACGACAGCAACAAAGAGAACGTGGTGATAGGTTGGATAGAGAACAACGCTCCGCGCTGTGGGCTGATTGGGCAGTCTCGGGATTTTTCGAACCTCGGAGTTGAGTTGTACAGTAACCCTCTTTGCCCATCCTGACCTCACATTTCGAGGCACCTCGCTTGGGCAAGGTTTTAATATGGATACAGATTCGTGGTAATGAAGGGGTATTAGAGGAAGGTAGAAAAGGTGGAACAAGGGTGATAAGGAGAGAAGAGCTGGAGAAGAAGAGAAGGGCCGAAGGAAAAGGTGGAAAGAGGAAACGGTCGACGGTGAACTTCAGTTGGGGGTTGTGGAAAGAAAACTATACTGTCGAAATTGAGAGAGCGAGAGAGGAAAATAGTTCAAACACACAAGAAGGAATAGCCACCTGGCTTGTCTACCCTTCCAACCTACACTTCCAACCTATATGCTACAAACGGTCCAATCGAAGCAATTTGTTTTCTTTCCCCATGCCCAACGCTCACTACATCCTCACACCCTCTGATTCCCCGTAACGAACTCATAAATGCACAATCGGATCAAGGATTTCGCCAAAAGAGGCAATGGAATCCATAGTCCCAATATTTCCAGATTTGGCATACTTAATCTCCAAAGCCGCCTGACTTCTCCGGGTACGTCTGGAAAGCATCTTGCAAAAGTCCTTGACAGACTCCTGTTTGGCTTGGATGAGCCATGCAATTTCGGTGGAATCTGCTTGGCCGCACGTGCCAAAATAAAGGAGGAGCCTGCTTGGCACTTGCACGAATGACCACAAGGGCGACGGGCAGGATGCAAGATCGGCGGAAGCCAATTGGCACGGCTGGAAGGAGAAATTTCTGGTTGGGAGATCTATCGGCCTGTTCGGCACAGGGAGGCCCACTACAAGAACGACGGTTCTATCCTCACACTATACACAGAAGTAGATACACCACTTTTAGGGCATGAAGCTATGACAATATGAGTCCTGGCACACATGCAATTTCCATACAGATGTTGCATGTTGAGGCTTCAGATATTTCTTAGATGTCGCGCTTAAGAAGCTTTGACTGAGGCACTCCTTTGCATGCGATTCTAGGGTCTTCTCCGCATGTAAAAACGTGGCACAATCTGAACATTGAATAATCAAACACCATCTTCTCCGATGGTAATTCATTCATGCATTCGTTTACACTTCTTAGTATGGGGTAGCTGCAAGCAATATGGGAGATGATAAAAACAGTTTACTGGCATGTTATGTACATCAACGTTTCTAAAGTATCAAAACAAGGTGCAGTTGCTCTATATTAACTGAGCAGAGATGCAAATTACAGTGCATTACACTCACAACTGCTTGGATGCTTACGTATTGCCAACCCAAAACCTCTCTCTATACTTTCAATCAACTCTTTTAAGCATTCAGCGGGATAGGGACTGTGGAAATACCATGGACCTGAATAGTCCTAGTCATGCTTAGATTTGTCATGTTCAAAGGGCCAAACGCAGATCCACCTACAGCTTTGAAATAGCATTCCCTTGTCGAGTAGCTGTTCATCTTGACCAGCTTCAGGCCCATATTCATGGTGGGGAACTGCCACATGGGTACAGTTGAGAGCAGCCGATCCTTGCTGAACTTGCCCTTTATTATCAGATTCTTCATTATGCGAAGCCTCTGCTGGGGAGTGAAAGCCTCCCACTTCTTTTTCATAAACTGATTGCCAATATCCGACGGAACAAGGATCGTGGAGGGACCATCAAGGGAAATAAGTTTGACCCTAGCTGCAACATGATTTTTTTCGAAAGTGTGTAACACTTTCTAAAAATGCGTATTTTGAAAGCGCAGCTGACTGTCACGAAGCAAAGCAATGGCGAATTACAATTCGCCGAGTACATAACGAGGGTTGGAGGCCATTCGGCCTCCACCCACGACTTCATTTCGGAACTTTGCAGTTCCACTCATTCTCGTCCAACCACCTCGAAAGTTTCCTCTGTCACTAGAACTACTTACTACGACTCACCTACAAGCGATCGATTTTCACGAAGGGCAACAATATCACGCGTGCGACTGTACTTAGCGGGCGCTCAACTGAGAGCGAAGTGCGCCGGACGAAACGCCAACAGGCGCGCCAAAGACGAAATCGCCAGTGGCACGCACTAGTGACGAAATTGCCACTGGCGCCAGTGGCTCGCGCTAGGGACGAAATTGCCACTGGCGCCAGTGGCAGGCGATTGGGACGAAATCGCCACTGGCGCAAGTGGCGCGCGCCAGGGACGAAATCGCCACACGCGCGCATGTGGCGAAATTGCCACGTGCGCCAGTGGCGAAATCGCCACTAGCGCGCCATGGACGAAATGGCCGCTGGCGCGGCAGTGACGAAATTGCCACTGCAGCGCCTTAGTCGTTTGACTGGGCGTCATTTGTTGCCTAAGTGCTGCAAGTCATTTTCTTTCAGTTTTATTTTCGTTATGTCCTCTTCGTTTATTTTCTATTAATCTATAAGCTCCTCTTATCCCTTGGTGGCAGAAAATCAGGCCCAACACTACAGTGGTGGAAAGACTTTTATAAAAGGCTCTACTAGTCGCGCGGGGAAATTACATGGACTACAGGATCAAACTGCACGCGCACCCAAGGACGTCTCCCAATAAAAAGAGCGGACAGAGGGTCTCCCCGTGTGGCCTGAGAGCCGTCCCCCAGGGGGGGAAGGGGACCGAGGGTCCCCGTGTGGCCTGAGAGCCGTCCCCCAGGGGGGGAAGGGGACCGAGGGTCCCCGTGTGGCCTGAGAGCCGTCCCCCAGGGGGGGAAGGGGACCGAGGGTCCCCGTGTGGCCTGAGAGCCGTCCCCCAGGGGGGGAAGGGGACCGAGGGTCCCCGTGTGGCCTGAGAGCCGGGACCGAGGGTCCCCGTGTGGCCTGAGAGCCGTCCCCCAGGGGGGGAAGGGGACCGAGGGTCTCCCCGTGTGGCCTGAGAGCCGTCCCCCAGGGGGGGAAGGGGACCGAGGGTCCCCGTGTGGCCTGAGAGCCGTCCCCCAGGGGGGGAAGGGGACCGAGGGTCCCCGTGTGGCCTGAGAGCCGTCCCCGAGGGGGGGAAGGGGACCGAGGGTCCCCGTGTGGCCTGAGAGCCGTCCCCCAGGGGGGGAAGGGGACCGAGGGTCCCCGTGTGGCCTGAGAGCCGTCCCCTAGGGGGGGAAGGGGACCGAGGGTCCCCGTGTGGCCTGAGAGCCGTCCCCCAGGGGGGGAAGGGGACCGAGGGTCCCCGTGTGGCCTGAGAGCCGTCCCCCAGGGGGGGAAGGGGACCGAGGGTCCCCGTGTGGCCTGAGAGCCGTCCCCCAGGGGGGAAGGGGACCGAGGGTCCCCGTGTGGCCTGAGAGCCGTCCCCCAGGGGGGGAAGGGGACCGAGGGTCCCCGTGTGGCCTGAGAGCCGTCCCCCAGGGGGGGAAGGGGACCGAGGGTCCCCGTGTGGCCTGAGAGCCGTCCCCCAAGGGGGGAAGGGGACCGAGGGTCCCCGTGTGGCCTGAGAGCCGTCCCCCAGGGGGGGAAGGGGACCGAGGGTCCCCGTGTGGCCTGAGAGCCGTCCCCTAGGGGGGGAAGGGGACCGAGGGTCCCCGTGTGGCCTGAGAGCCGTCCCTCAGGGGGGGGAAGGGGACCGAGGGTCCCCGTGTGGCCTGAGAGCCGTCCCCCAGGGGGGGAAGGGGACCGAGGGTCCCCGTGTGGCCTGAGAGCCGTCCCCCAGGGGGGGAAGGGGACCGAGGGTCCCCGTGTGGCCTGAGAGCCGTCCCCCAGGGGGGGAAGGGGACCGAGGGTCCCCGTGTGGCCTGAGAGCCGCCCCCCAGGGGGGGAAGGGGACCGAGGGTCCCCGTGTGGCCTGAGAGCCGTCCCCCAGGGGGGGAAGGGGACCGAGGGTCCCCATGTTGGGCTTGCCGTAAGATGGGCTGAATTTCGAACAATGTGTGTGCTAGTATGGATCATCCTTGGCTATTGATGTAACCGTATATGATAAGAGTTCAAAAAAAAAAAAAAAAAAAAAAAAAAGGGGGCTCAAACATTTTTTGACAAACAAAGGTTGGTTGGTGCCCCATCAATTTCCAGGGAAGCAATTGTTTGGAGTGACCTGGTTACAAATGGTTGGTAGAGTGCAACTCAAGATGGATTTTGAATCTGACTTGACTACGGTTGTTCACACGCACTCCTACATCGCATTCAATGTTCTCTCCAAATAAGGGCAATGAGAAAGGGATTGGTTTCCATCATGCTCATCCCACTCTCTTAGATCGCACCCGAGATGGAAATAAAAGCACGGGAGTTGCGACTAGCATGCTACCACAAGTTGCGTCTCGTTAAGAACTTGAATGGGATTTAGGTGTTGGGAGTTAAAGATGGAATTCGTGTGTGAAAAAATATATATATATATATATACCTATTTAACCAAAATGACGGACACACCCTCCCGCTACTACCAACTCAGCCCATACCTCCACGTTGTAGATAGCCCCGAACCTCAAACGGTTGGAAGCGTAGAGTACAGCAGAGCACATGGTAAATCCCAAGATAAAAGTTGTACCGTCCATTGGGTGTGTAGACCTTGGTTGGGAACCACCAATTGCAACCACTATTCTGCTGCATCAACAAACACGCACATCTACACTAACAGAACGCAACCTTCGCACACACAACATTTCGAACGCCATCGACATAGAGATCGCGATTACCAACGCCACCTCTCTCGGCACTTCGTCAAGGCCATCAATCGCAACTACACTCGCCACGTCTTCAACACCCCAACTGCACATGTCTCAGAAGACCCAATTGTAATGAAGCCCGTTGCCTTTGCAAGAACAGAAAGCAAGCTTTCTCAATATGAAAATTTTCGAAAGTGTGTAACACTTTCTAAAAATGCGTATTTTGAAAGCGCAGCTGACTGTCACGAAGCAAAGCAATGGCGAATTACAATTCGCCGAGTACATAACGAAGGTTGGAGGCCATTCGGCCTCCACCCACGACTTCATTTCGGAACTTTGCAGTTCCACTCCCCACCCACCCACCCTAGTTGTATATCTGTATAATCCATCCATAGTTGGACGAGAATGTTGTATTACTGCAATTGTAATGAAGCCCGTTGCCTTTGCAAGAACAGAAAGCAAGCTTTCTCAATAAGAAGAAAAACGAAAGGCGATAAGAAACTGACTCATATTGTACAATCAAAGAATGCTGGAGGGCAAAAAGAAAGGCAATAAGAAACTGACTCAGCTTGTTCATATCAGCGAATGCTGGAAAGCTATGCATGTCCTGCGGCTGCCATGTCCTCAGCAATGAATTCGTACTCAAAGAGCTCACCCGCAGTGTAGAAACGTTGCGCGAACACGGAGAAAAAAGGGTACTTCTTATCGAGGTCCTTGAACGCCGTCAAGAGCTCTCGATTCAGCAGGTCGGCCCGCGATGGGGGCTTCCTTGCCGGTGCTCTCTTGACAGCGACGGTGTGCGGAACCAAAAGCAGCAGCAGAATGGTTGCTACGGCTATGGCGAGGTTCACTACACGGAGCGTCAGAATCGGCCTCATTGCAACCACGAACGGTCAACACCAAAGGGATCGGAGAAACAAATCCTACCACTGAAGCAACGAGGGAGGCCAAGGATGCGAAGCTCGGCGAGGCTGAGGACTTTCTGCACAGAACATGCTAACAATGCAAGGCTGAGCTTCACAAATTTAAGCGTTCTCTACGGTCGCCGCCGGACAAGGAACACGCGCCTTGTCTGGTGCAGTTTTCCGTTAGAGAGAGAAGAGGAAGGGGAGAACTGGTGCTGGACGGTGTGGGGTTACATCTGCTGTTGGCGCGACCAGGACTAGACATCGGCTCGAGGCGGCCGTTTCTGGCTCCGTGGTTTACAGTTTTATCCATCCAAGGTGCCGCTATCATTTCGGAGAAACTACTTCGAGAGAATATGAGATCTCGTCCCAGGTCGGAGAAGCCATTTGCAGGATTGACGCAAGATCGGGTAACAGTGAGGCCGCTACAGATTGTACGCAGGCAGTGCAAAACGTGTCGGTGCGCGCTTGCGCGGCTTTGATGGAGCATGGGTTAGTGCGCTTGCACCTCCCAAGTGGTACCCAAAAAACCTAGGGAACCCATCACGGTTTCTTCTCGCCAACATAGGGAACCCATCGGACAGACTGCGAGCCAAGTATGTCCAGCCAACGGCACGACCTAACTTCACGGCGCCAGTTAACACTGTCATATTCGGCGCGCGTAGCGCGTTCGGAACAGACGCGCGGAAATGTCGATTGGACTTCTACGGCTAGTAGACAAGCGCTATGAGCAGGGCAATTGGAAGAACTCTTCTGCAAGACATATCCTCGTGAGGCAGCGAGATGCGTTTCATCTTGCATGCGTCGTTCCACTCCCACCACCACACATACTTGCTACTGGGCGCGGTGCACTGTGAAGGGGATTCCTTTCGTGCATTTCCGTTACTCATTCGTCCGTCACTGCTCCATGCAGGTCGCATCGCAAGCGTTGGTAACAACTTCTTTCGCCAGATGCATTTGAATTAGCAGTAACTCGTTAAACTGCGAATTGCAACAGAAGTGCTGTTCAAGTTATCATATACTGGAAACAAGAGTTACAGTCCATGCAGCAAAATTCATGAACAAAGATGCTCCAAGTAGAAAACAACATGTATAATGTTTTTCTAGAATTCTTGTTCGGTAAATGGTAAAATTAGATTCGGTTTGCATGTTCTTGTACAGTATGGTATATTTTGTGTTCCTAACTTTACTAATAGACATGCTTATGATAGCTGTTGTGTTTTCGGAGGACCAATCCTCGCGTATGGTGGCGCAGAATTGACAAGCCAGTTGCTAGCTTCTGCACTTGGTCTGCCACTGCCTGTCGAACTGTCTAGTCACTAAGGATTTTCCGACGAAGACTGCACTTCATCTAGCGGTAGTCTCCCCCAATGCTTCTACATACTAGACGTCATCATGGCGCTTTTTTCTTGGTTCCACCGAGTGTGCGGGAACGTCTGCGTGATTCCACCGCTCGTTCACTGTCATCCGATTTACGCGATTCGAGTCTGGACTCGCTCGGATTAGATGTCCGCAAGATCAATGGCGTATCTTGGCGCTCGAGCTTCAACCCGGCTGGGCTATTCGCCCTTCGTCCGCCTGAGTTCCACCCACTACTTATCCGCACCGCTCCTGCAGAACCTACTCAAGTTCCTTCTTTCTACAACGAGTGAAGTTTTTCACCCTCCAATCGAATTCAAGCCGACATGGCCATCCCGCGCGGCGCGCTCCTTATTTCGATTGTCTGCCTCTTTGGAGCCGCCGCTACTACCACTGCTGCAGGTCCATCCATTTCATCGGGAACCGTCGGGCCGCGTCGTAACCTTACAGAACTTCGCGGGTCTCGTCGGGCCTTTGAGCACATCATACCCCTTTCCAAGCCCGTGGCTGCACCCCTCGTCGCAGCGGCAGCAGCCAAGCTCAAAGCAGTCCTTCTAGAAGCTGCCACGATAGCAAGTTTCGTTTCTCAGCTTCCTGGCGGACACTTCTCCAAGGGGGCTTCTAAGGTTTGCGAGGATTTCGGCGCGCTGCCCGCGTGCGATTTCTATTTTGACGTGTTGGGTCCTCTCGGTCTGCCCTCTCTTCGTCTCCCTTTCGTCTCTCAACTGGTGCTGCTGGATTCCCAGCGCAACGGGGACCGTCCTGTGAGCCTGAATATCGCCACCAGCGTTTCGCCCAGCGTCCACGATATTGGCGAGGACAAAAGGAAGGCCTACGTTTACCAGGTGGAGGTGGATGCGACAGGGAAGGCGGAGTACTGCAAGTGCAAGGCAGCAGAGCTGGCAAAGAACGTGGGACAAGCTGGTGATCAATTCTATGCAACTGGAGAGGTAAGCTGCAAAGACCGCAATTGGGGCAAAGCAGGTTTCGCCACAGCTTTGAACAATGCTCCCTGTCGTAGAAATTTAGATTAGTCATGCTGTCACCCTGAAATGCCCCCCTTACCCCACCCGTACCCGCCCTCAACCCCCCTCTTTTCTCCCGCCCATCCCACCGCTCCTACTCGTCGTTCCAGCCAGCGAGGGTTTACGCCCGAACTTTTCAGAAGGACCTTCCTGCAGAAGCCTTCCAGGGCTGTTGTGTGCGCCTGCCACTGGCCAGCGTGCAGCTGAAGTCTCCCAATGGTGATGTCATTAACCTGAACAAGGGAGACGGAGATCATCGGTTCCCTGAAGAGCGTCGTTGTCTTCTCTTTCATGTGCTTGTACTGTAAAAGTCTTCTATGAGGGCCATAGGTACTGTAAGGGTGTATGCTCGGATCTCCAGTCCAGAGGAACCGTCTAGCAGAAGCCTTTTTAAGGCTGTTGTACCGTATGTGCCTGCCACTGGCCATCTTGTCTAACGGTGCCTGAACAAGGGAGACGGAGACAGCCGTCTTCCCTGACGAGTGTCACTGTCTTCTTTTTCATGTGCGTGGACTGTAGAAGTTTGCAACGAGTGGGCCGATACCGTACCTTGGTTTGGTGTGCTACATTCATAATAACTGTTTTGTCTTACTACTGGTCTATGGAAATCAAACTTGGTCTACGTACTATTTCTGATCCATGCCAATAAGCAATACCACGGCTTCCGGGCGTGGCTTTACTAGGTTGTTGCAGTAGACATGGTTGCCATGGGTTAGTTTGGAAGCGATATGAAATATGCTGGAGTAACAGTGCACTGTTATTATTTCCCCCCCGTTTTCTGAGGTGTGTGCAATTCAAATCAACGTACCATGCGTAACAACGGAGTATACTAAAAGAGAGGTAGCTCAGAGATGTGGTGCACCACGGCCACGACAGAATTAAACGTGTCCGTGCCACGTCCGTGCCAATTGAAGCACGCGGTGTGAGGCTTTTCCTATTTCTAAGGGACGACTGCCACATCACCAGCGTACCCTCTTTCATGGGAGCGTCCCCCATTGCCGCAGCGTCCATCTCACAAAGCGCCAGAACAACGTCACTGTTCCGAGCAAATGCTTTTTATGACACACCATATCTTTGTGCGCGAATTGTCCACACAGTTGGTGGGCTCACTTTTCCGCCACCCGTTGGCTCCCGATCAGGCGAGGGGCCAGACAACCATCCAATTAACGGCTCAAAAGTTTCTAAGCACTTCAGTAAAATCCGGGAAGGCTTGGCCCAGATGGCAGTTGCGAATCTCCTGCTGACAGCAATGCATGGATCGTGGTCGCTCTCGGCACAAATGCAACCTGCTGCCAGACCAGACGCGCTTCCCCGAGCAGCACCCGCGCCAAATCTCCGCGAACTTGCTCACCTCATGCTCTTCCCCCCAACCGAAGCTCCACGCCAGCCTAGATTGCGGCATGAGGGAGGGGAGGGCTTGCAAATAGATTTTTCAGTCGAGTTGCCCGAGGGTACACTCGATGTTGCAGCAGCTTAGGGCAGCAGTGCACCGCAGAACCTGTACTCGATCTTGTATGCCGAGCCTCAAACGACAGGGGTACACCCACAGAATCCGTATCCCTCTCTTCCGAGCCTCTCTCTCCTTTTTAGAGGCTTCGCCTTGCTGGAAGCGCAACACACACCAGGCCAACCATGTCCAACCAAACCATCGAACTCATCTATCCCGTCCGCCGCTTCCGCTTATGCTCCGCCCCGAAAACTCGCCAAACCCAAACCCTCCGCAAGTGGTCTCGTCTTGATCAGCCTCGAAACTCAGTCCCGAACCGACATAACCTTCCCGACACCCCAGTGACCCCACTCTCACACCCTCCCGTCCCCCCCCCACCACCACCCGTCATCACCCACCCACCCCTCCGAGTTTCCCCCAACCGTCCTTCTGTCATGGGCACTAGGCACGCGCCTTCTTGCGCTTCGCCTTCCCATCATCGGCCCACCCGTCCTTTCAATCCTTCACGTCGCCCATTTCCTCCCCCCACCTCCTTCCCCCCTCCTCTACCTTCCGCCTACATTCCCCGCCCTCTCCAGTTCTCCGCGCTCCCCCTTTTCCTGGCGGCTTGACGAGCAAAGATGAGAAGAACCGACCACCCCCACCCATCTCCTCCCGTTCCTCTCCCATCCCATCCCAAGTTCCCAGCTCACACAATCTTGGGCGCCAAGTGTTCGGAACTTCAACCAAACCAAACCCCACCCCACTCGGTCGCCTACCTCCCGTATTTAGGCTTCCACACATGCTTCTTCTCACATGACTTGATTTCCAAGTCTACGCAATTCGGTGATCCCAAGATCACCTACACAGCGCTCGTTCCTCGTGCTCCACGTAGCGTTCTTCACGGTTTCCCAGTTTCAGTTAGTTTACCTGTAGATGGATTTCCTCGTTTGTGATGCCAAGTCTAGGGAGGCTTGTATGCCGAAGGGAAGGCACTCCTGGTCCGATCCGCTTTATTCTGGAAGTTCCAGGAGCACCTTACACTCCTCGCCTCCAAGATGTGTAGATTCGTTTATTCCGTTGAGTTACGCTCAGACTCACGATTCCATGGTCGGTAGTGTGCCGTTTCATGACCGGCATGTGTTCCTGTGTCATAAGGGCCCTGCCAACTGGCCTGAGAACCCGTTTTCGTTTGACTGGGACTGCATGCCGAGGAGGCTTCGTGCTGATATTAAAGCTCGCGAGGAGGAGATGCAAAGAAAGGTGAGTTACGCCGTGTGTTGTCCTCCACGTTTACCTGTGTCATTCCTGTGTTTTTTACTTTTATCCTCTCCTGTCTGTCTTGCAATTTTAAGGGTAGTGCTCATTTTATTTCCCCATCTTGCTTCCGTCGCAGTTATGCCGCTACTTATCTTTATGTGTTAGCTTACCTTGCTTTCTCTTCCGTACTGTACCCCTTGTCTTCAATAAATCTCAGACGATGTTCACGGTGTGTGAAGGGAGGGACGTCCCTGGCTCCTACAATGGGGACATTCTGGTCTTTCCTGAAATGCTGATTTACAAGTCAGTTGCGTTTTTTAGCTCCTAAGCATTATGTTTTTGCTAGATAATATTTGTTGTAATACCTCATAAGAGCGATATTCGTCTGCATTTCTCCCTGAATACTCCCTCACCTTCTATTTCCCTTACGTTTGTCTCTGTCTGTCTCATTGCCTGCCATCCTTTCACACCTACAGGTCGCTGACTCGTTTCGATGTTGAGTGCTTCGTGGATGAGGCTCTCGTGCAGGAGCAGCCTCGCTTGCTCTGGCCGGAACCTCTTACCGGGTGCCATATCTTCGTGTGCTGCCACGTCACCCGCGACTCACTCTGCGGTGCGATCGGCCCTCAAGTCGTGGCGAAATTCCGCGAGGAAATTGAACGGCGAGGATTGATCGACGTGCACGTCTGGCCGTGCTGTCATCTGTCGCGGAATGTCTCGATGGATGCGTGTGTTGGAAACGTGTCTGTATTCAAACGGAGCAAGCCGTCATGCAATAACTGTGGAAGGAGGAGGTCCGAGGATCGATTCCTGTCTGGCGCGAGAAGGCAGCAACTTCCTCCGGAAGCCCTCGCTGCATTGGTAGCAGCTGCTTCTGCCGGGGGGCAATCTGGAGAGGTTCGGGGTGACTGGTACGGCCAAGTCATGCCTGATGACGTGGCAGACGTCATGGAGCTCCACGTCATGGGTGATTCCGTGGTGGAGCGCCTTTGGCGGGGGAGAATGGGGCTCTGGCCGCAGCAGCAGGTGGAGGAGCAGGCTGATCGTCTCGGTTCAATGCGGTGTGTTTCCGCCGACCCTGAAGCCTCGTCCGAACGTACTCCCGGCTCGGCTTCCGGTTCGGCTCTTTCCGACGCTGGTTCAGAAGTCTGCTCCTGCGCTCCCGCCGCAGTCACGCGGTCTTTCTCAGCTCAGTACATCACTCCTCAAACTTCTCGCTCTAGCAGCGAGGCGTCGAAAGGATCCAATAACAGCCCTTGCGAGTACGCCAAGTGCGGCGCGGGTGGCGTGGCTCATAGCCCGTCTTCCACGCTGGACCCCGTTAATCGGCTTCGCTCGGCGAGCTTCCACAGCTGCTCGTCGGCCTCCTATTCGTCGACATCAATCGCGTCCGCCGATCCCGCCGTTAGCGACGTTCGCGGCGAGGTCAGCGGCGGCGCGTCTCTTAAAACGGACTCGTCTCTCTCGTGCGTCTCCGCGTCCCCCGGTTCTTCGTCGCGGTGGGATAGTTACCTCTGCGGCTCGCCTTCACTGCGATTCGGTTCTGCTTCTGAGAGTTCCGCCTCTCGCCCAGTGAAGCAGGGGCAGTTGCCGAAACAGCCCAGCTGTAATCGGGTAACCAGTTTCAACCAAAACTTTGCAAAGCAAGAGGCGGAAACCGTTTCGGCTGGGTGGGTTAGCTGGCAGGGGGAGTCGTCTCTCGTGTCGGGGCGTGGTGCCATTGCTGCCGCTGCTGTCGCCGCGGTGGCAGTGGCTGGTGTGTTTGCAGTGGTGTACCTTTGCAGGAAGAGAGATTGAAATGTTTGCAAAGTTCTTTGCTGCTGCTTGGCTGATGATTTGTTACGTCTGCCCGTGCATCTAGGGCAGAAGCAGCATGAAAGGCAAGTGACGCTGGTGGTGATGGTGGTGATCGGCGAGTGAGTTGGATGTGCGGCCAGCCAAATTGACTGGCATATTTTACCAAGACACCGGTCCTGAGATTGATGTGGAAGTCAGGTTCTCCTGAGCGTAGGCTTCTGAAGATGGTCTGTTATTCTCTTGTATATATGTCTATTTGTGTGGTTTGTTTTTCAGGCTGTTATCTGGAAATAAATAATTAGCAGATTAGCAGTTGACAACCCAAGCAGCTGAAATCCCAACTTCTTTACACCGTAATCTGTATGACAAATCAGTACAGGTACAACTCCAAAATTTCTCCTGTGCTGCTCACATGTGAATGTCTTACAATACAGGAGCAACTACAAAAATTCTCCTGTGCTGTCACAGGGACAATCTCAAATCTAACCTGGCACCTGCTTCAGAATCAGCTACTGCATCCTCTCTGTTCACTGGCTCCATTGCTACTACTGGGTCTTTTGCAGCACTCTCGCTTCTCTCCGCCTGTTCACTCTCCTCTACACTGATCTCTTGCGTCTGCTGCTGCATATCTATTGATAACCCTCGTTCTGGTTGCTGTTGCTGAAGAGTCTTATAGCGAAGCTGCTCGTTCTCCCTGCGAGCATAGCTGTGGTGTTCTCCCAGGTGCACAAACTCGTGCATCTCTCGCGGAGACAGCTTAAGTGGGGGATATGCAGTGTCTGCTGTGGGCGGGTTCCTCTCTGGCGTTGCCAGGCGAACAGTCACTTGGTGCTGGTGATGCTGTATCTGCTGCTGTGCTGAATGCTGCTGCTGCATCTCCTGTGCTAGACGCTGCTGATGATGCTGCTGCTGCTGCTCCAACTTCTGTTGCACCTGAAACCCTTGAATCTGCTGCCACTGCCCTTCCGGCCGCCCCACGGCACCACCTACCGAACCACCAGCGCTCCAATCACCCTCTCCCCGAACCTGTGACCGACCCTGTGACGACAGCAGAGCAGCAACGGAGCTATCAGCAGCACGGGCCGGCTGGCTGGGAGTAGAATCTGAAGTTAAAGCCGAAGAGGACGACCCGGCCGATGGACGCATCCACCTCGGACCCCCTCCTTCTGATGAGTCCTCTCCCAGGAGCTGCTGTGGGTTCCATGAAGCATGACACAACTGGCTTGAAGGAGCCTCAAGGGCCGAGCTTGGCCCTTCCGCACCACTGGATTCCGCCATCCACTTCGACAGCACTGCATAGTGTGCTAACGATTTTGACAGAGCGGCGTGCGAGGTGGCAAACCAGGGGGCTGTCATGAGCTGGGAGCTTGAAGCTGGTGCTGATGCCAGTGCTGGGGATGATCTTGGTGCTGGTGCTGGGATTGGTGCTGGGATTGGTGCTGGTAAGGATAAACCTGAAGGCTCAGGAGGATCCAGGAACATTTCCGAGGGTTCTTTGGAAACCGGGGATTCGAGTGCCTTGTGAGAGGAGCCCTGATTCGACCTGTGAGCCGCACCGCGAGGCGTGCTTTGAGTCGAGTTGTCTGCATCCCCGGGTGACACAAAAGCATGGTCCATGGAAAGCCTCCTCCTCCTCGCATCTCCAGAAGCAACTCCTCCCTCTCCCGCTGCTTCCTCGTCACAAGCTTCTCGTTTCGGCCTCAGCTGCGGCGCTGGAACATCCTTATAACGAGGATGCTGCTCTGGTAGCAGCACAGGCAGGGCCCCTCCAGGCAAGATAGACGCGCCGCCCTGCTCTGAAGCAGGTGCAAAGTGCTGCTTGGGATGCTTAAAGTGCTGCTGGCCCAACTGCAGAGCAGACTGATGGTGCTGCTGCTGCCCTGCTTGCCCTGGGCTCTCTGGGAGCTCTTGTAATGTGGGACGTGTTCTGGAAGCTTCTGGCATGCTCCTTTCTGCTCCAGCTGCTCCTGAACCTTCTCCTCGTCCTGGCCTCCCTCCTACTCTTGCTCCTCCTCTTCCTGCTGCTGCTAACAAAAACTCCTCCCGACGGTTCTGCTCATTCTCCTGCAGCCCCAGTTGCTCCTGCGGCTGCGGTGGCTGCTGCTGCTGCTGGTCTTGGCGGTGATAGTGCTGCTGCTGCCGTAACTGCTCGTTCTGCTGTTCTTGCTGTTGCGGTTGCTGTTGTTGTTCTTGCTGCCGCTCGAATCCACCAGCAGGGGGAGACCGAGCAGTCAGCCCACCAAAAATACTCTCTAGCACACTCCTGGTCGGCATGTCTTGTCCACATCCCAACTGCTCCTCCCACTGCTGAACACTCCCGTCACCCTCTCCTCGCTCTCCCATTGCACGGCCAGGATCGCTTCCCACGCCTCGTCCCCTCCATCCAACGGTCGGATGGGCAGCATCCACTGGCTCAGGCTTCACCTCGCCCATTGTAACGGTAACCAGCTGTGGAATCACAGTGAAAGGGAGAGACGCTGTGCCCATGCTGCTGCCTCCTCGTAACATGCGTGATTGTAACGTGTGTGACTGAGCCGCCCATGGTACAGAAGCAGGGCCTGCAGCACCAGCGTCGCATTGAACAGTTACACTGGCCGCGGTCCTTCCCTTGCCAACACTGCCACCACCACTGTCACCACCGCCAGCACCAGCAGCACCAGCACCAGCACCAGCAGCACCAGCAGCACCACCAGCAGCAGCACCACCACCAGCAGCAGCAGCACCAGCACCAACACTACCAGTGCCTGTACAGACGCCCTCCCCCTCCGCTGCCTCCATTCCCTCCCTGCTCCTGAACGTTTCTCGCTCCCTCGAAGCACCCTCTTGCTTCTGCGGTGTGCCCTTCTTTTGCCGCGTGTCTTGTTTCCGCGGAGTGGTGTTATGCCTGGGTGGAGAGTCTTGGTTCCCAGGTGCAACTTGCATTACAACTTGCTGGCCTGCTGTGCCTTGTAGGTTTCCCACATATTGCTGCCTTCCCGCGTCTTGCTGGTTCCACCTCCCTTACCACCAGCAGTACCAACACCACCAGCACCAGCAGCAGCGGCTGCTGCTTTCGCTGCCTTTTCCTTCTGTCGCTGCTGCCGTAATTCCCGGTGCCCGTTTTGGTGGCCGCCCAGTGCATGCAGGGTCGGAAATCGCATGTGGCAAACCTTGCACTCGTGCGGACCCGAGCCTCGGATCCAGGGTCGGTTCTCCGCCGCACCTGCGTGCGGCCAGGCAGTTGAGTCTAGCAGTGGGGACAAGGAAGGTCCCCCAAGGCTGAACAGCCGCTGCTGGGCGAGGCCAGGGGGTGACCGAACCTCTGCCGAACCAAGTGAGTCCGAGCCTGCTGCAGAAAGAGGTACGGGATCAGCACTTGCAACAGCAGTGGCTTCAGCAGAAGCAGCAGCATCAGCGGCGGCAGCGGCAGCAGCGGCTGCGGCCCCTGCTGCAGCGAATTGAACAGCAGGGGACGTTGGTTCTTGAGTTGTTGCTGCTGCGGCACGCCCTTCAAAAGAACCACCACCACTTCCAAACCCCGCAAACCCCTCTCGAATCCCCTTCATCTCCTGAATCTCCTGAAGCCCCCGAACGCCCCCAAGGGCCCCAAGCCCCCTAGCAGCTGCTGTTGCTACCTTCGCCTCTTCCTTCGCCTCTACCTTTGCCACTCCTCTCCTATGTGGCATTCCGGAAGCGTCCAACTGCTCCTGCCCGGAAGCCCTAGTCTCCTGCGCTGCGGCGAATCCCTCGCCTGCGAGTCTAGGAGTAGTAGTAGTAGATCTGGGACTTGCCATGATGGCGCCTCTTTGTGCTTCTGTTGTTGTCGCCGCAGCTGTCGCCGCTGTCGCTGCTGTCGCTGCTGCTCTCCCTGCTGCTGTAGCATTATCAGTTCGAAAGACAGGCTGTCGCTCGCCGCCGCCGCCCGTAGATCTGAAGCTGCTGCTACGTTCCATACGCCCTTCCGCGCTCTCCCCGCCCGCGCTCCCGCTCACGTTCGCGTTCGCGCTTCCGCCATGCGGGCGGAAACCACCGCCCGCCGCTCCCCACGCTAAACCCGCGCCACCCACGTTTCCGCCGCCGCCTGTGCTAAACGCGCCCGCAATCGCTGCGCCCCCCTGTGCTGCGCGGGGCTCACGCGGAGACGAGAAAAACTCCGCTGAGGCGGCGTCCCCCTTCGCTTCGCCGGGCGTCGCGCGCTCTGTGGGTGACACGCGGAAGCTCCCCGCGCGCCAGGGAAACGAGGCGGCGTCGCTCATTCGCTCCTCCTGCGGAAACGAAACCAATTCGTCCTTGCCCCTTCCGCCCCTCCGCAGCACTTCCCCTTCCGCTTCCGCTTCCCCCCCCCAGCCAGTTTCGGACGCTGTTCCCTACGTTTCCGCCGCCGACGGCGGCGTGTGACGCGCTTCGCCCAAGCGGTCTCGCATCAACGACACCAGCATTATGCTGGATCCCGCCCGAAACCGGGTTACCACTCCGCAGACCACCCAAAGGGTCAGGGATTCGAGTAATTCGCGTAAGCCAGTCGCTCAGCTCAAGCGACGGTTCGCCGGAGTCGTCCGGCGGTCGCCCGCTGGGCGGCGGTCGCAACGCTGCGACTCCCTGCGAAGTCGCGCCATCACCGACGCGGCCGCCGCCGTATCCGGCTCCTCCGCCACCGGCGCCGCCGCCGGTGGGAGTTGCGGCGACGGCGGACGACATCCGCAGCTCTTCCGCCGACAAGTTCCGCTGCTGCTGCGCCGACGAGATTTGTTGCGCCGACGAGAGTTGTTGCGCCGACGAGAGTTGCTGCGCCGATGAAATCTGTCGCTCCGATGAGAGCTGTTGCGCCGACGCGATCTGTTGCGCCAATGAGAGCTGTTGCGCCGACGCGATCTGTTGCGCCGATGAGAGCTGTTGCGCCAATGCGCTCCACAGAGCGGACGATGCGGCAAGCGACGAAAACGACACGGGCGCGACGCCCGCCGCGATAGCCGGCGACGAAAACGGCGCCGCGGGAGCCATCTCCGTGCGAAATCCTGCCGCGGCTGCGGCCTGAGCGGTTGGAAACGGCATTGGTGCGGGTATTGCGGCGGGAGACGCGCCGAGAAGTGCGGCGGGAGACGCGGTGGCCTGCTGGAGAAAATGTAGGGGTTTTTGCGTGAAAGCCGCGGCCACGACTCCGCCGTGGGCGGAGGCGAGCCAAGTCTGCTGCATTCCGCTTGACGGCGGCGCGGAAGGTGGCGGTTCGGGAGCCCTATCGCGCTGTCGCTGACGCTGACTCTCATGACTCATCGGCGAGGGAAATTGACGATGGTCGTCGCGATTGTCGCGATTGTCGTGAGCTTGATCAGTTCTAAGACGCATCAAATCATGCTGAGAATCGCCACCGTCCGTCGCGCCGATCATCACGGATTCTACGGTCCCGATTCTCTCCGCAAATCGTTGATCACGCAATCTCGGCTGAGCACCACCCGACGCATTTTGCGCCGGAGACGGATCATTAGACATGAAGCGTAATCGCTCGTCGACATTTCCGATTTCATGTTGAGAAGTGGTACTACCGCCATTGTCGCGACGCCGCTGTTCTAATAGGTGCTGCATCGCAAAAATCTCGCGCGGCGCCACCAACGCTGACGCCGCCACGTCATCGTCCGAAATTTGTAACAGCGGCAACAATAACGGTGTCCGTCGCTCCGAATGAATACCACTCTCTTGACGTTGACGTTGACGTTGACGGTGTTCCCCGTCCAGTTGCATGATTGGTTTCTCGTCTGACACATTATGATGCTCGGCCATCGCGCCGTCATGGGCTGATTCCTCTTGAACAATAACTTCCGAATCGGGTTTTGAGACGTCACCTCAAAACCCGATAGCCGAGTCGGCTCTGGCCAGACCACAAAAATCCGGTCGAAAGAGTAAGCACGAGCGAGCGCGATGAGCGGCTACAAGTCCTATAGCGAAAGGAATGGAGCGTTGCGTAGTGTATGTCAACTAGACAGCTGGAAAGAAACATGGAGAGGCCGCGGAAGATCGTGAAAGGATGCGTAACTCTGAGAATGACGGTTGTTCTGAGTAGTACCTTGTTGAAATGCAAATCTAGCCAGCTACTCGATTCCGGATTCCACTCGTCGCAGTCCAACTGGAAAAACGAACAAAGTTGTATTCCTGCCAGGTGAATTACGTCCTTGCAGAATCTAACAGTTCTCAACTTGAGCCGAACATTCACACGTTTGGGAAGGAAGCCCGAGAGGAGGAAGAGACGAGCGGTGGGGAGATGGCAAGGAGTCGTCGTCGTGGCCTGTTCGTGTATGTGCGTGCCAAGGAGTGAAAAGAGCACTGATCGCTATTGGTTTGACCACCAACAGAAAAAGCGCGCAGCGGCAGGCACTCTTCCCTCAAAGCGGAATGTTGAGTAAAGGGAGGAAGAAGGGAAGAGTTTTTTTCGCCCCCCATTTTCGAGTGGAGCCGAGGCGAGGACGTTCATCAAAAGCACGAGCGGAGGAGAAAGCAGCGGAGAGCCGTTCAAATGCAGCGGAGATGGGAGGACCACTGTTTGGAAAAGGTTGACGATGATGACGACGAGATGCGAAAATGGACAGGAGACGAAGCTGGCTCGGAAGATTCGCCTTACATATGTTACGGATTTTTTTTGTTTGTTACAGTACCCAACGCGTGAGCTGTTCGCCAGCTTGTTCAAGATCGTGGTCGCTCTTCGTCAGTTCGCCTACGAAACCGATAACGAACCTTGTTCCGTTCGTTCATTTCGTTTCAGACAGAAATAACGAAAATTGCGGAGCTCAAAAAGCAATTGGCTATCGGTCACACGGAGGAGTAAATACTGTAGTTCAGTGCAAATTTACCGAATCTGTTGTGCAAGCCGAATTTGGCTGGGAGGGAAATCAAAGGGGCGAATCAGAGGAAGGACAAACTCGGAAACAGAAGAAACCACAAGGCAAAACAAGACAAGGGACATCCAAGCGCATCGAAAGCGCCAAGATTGAGGCAGTGGGCCATCAACCCACTCATCGTTGGAGCAGGCAGGAATGAGCATCTAGATGGATTTGCGCTGGCATTTTAAAGGAATGTTATTGGTAGAAAGTCAGGAAAGTCCCTAATGGTATGATGACAAGGAAAATCATTGAAACTGTACACAATTGCCCGACCCACTGTGATTCTGTCGCTCTGCCCACAAAAAGTTTCTGCCCAGGGCTCATCTGGTATTGCACAATAAACAACGAGTAGGGGTGAAATCTCCTAGGGAAGGTCAGGGAGGGTGATCAAGACGTTGAAACCAGGACGTACAAGCTCCCCAATATTGCCGAAGTGATAGGCAATGGAACTGCACATACGTGTTGAGTTACAGAGTCAGGCTGTCCCGGCAGTACCAGGAAGTTTAGGAAAACAGGTCGGGAAAATAGGTCGGGAAGTAGGAGGCGGTGGCAGAGACTTTTTCTCGTAATTTCTAGAATCAGCCTTATTTGCTCAAATTAGTCAGGGAGAAGCTAAGAGATCATATGAAGATCCCCAAATTGGCATGCAGATTATCTGGCTTTTGTATTTCAAAAATAAAAGAGCTACCCTGATAACAGAGCGCCCGGGTTCTGCCCCCAAATCATGACAAGCGAACCAGTAGGGCTAGTTCTGCTTCGCAGTGTTGAAGTGACGACTAGGTACCCAAAAAACACTTACAATTCCAATCTACCCACACGGAGAGGGGATGGGGAGGGGATAGAAGAGGCAGTGGGGAGAGTGATAGACTCAGGTAGTGGTGGTTGCAGTCGTGATTGGGTGACACAACTTAACCCCAATCAGCCATTTCAGCAGTTTGGGTAGCCCTGGCAGCATTCCACTCGCAAGAGTGGGACAAAGTGAACAATGCAGTTGACATTCAATGAAGAAATGAACGGTGGACGACAAATCTGCGTGACGACACTCATGCATCTACGTGGCAGCTTCAGGCCACCCGAATCACCCTTACGTGGCAGTCCTCGTATCGTTAGATCTCTCAACAAGAAAATGCTCCAAGCAAGTTGCATGGCAACGAAATGCACGAAAAGAGGGGTGAATGTGATTTGGTACAGCACCGAAAGCAGGAGAATCAGTATCTGCCAGAAGGAAAGTCCCAAAGATACTGAGAGGACTGTTCGAAAAAAACGGAACTTCGGAATAAACATGAAATCATAAGCAGGACACTGTTCTTAGAATCCTAACACATCCGCACTAAAAACGTTACGCCCACAGAACTGGCAAGGGCTTCAATTCAGAACTACACAGTACAATATGCAGACAATGATGCAAACTGAAAGGGACAAAAAAAGGGCTTTGTATGGTACAGCTACTGGTACTCAGAACCCAACTGGAGCACTGGTGAATTGTACCCCCAAACATGATCACCAGCCCATCACCTATAAACCCATGGTTCTAGTACCCCTTGCAGGACAATATAAGGCGCCGCTGCCCTATCCAATTGCAGAGCTCCCAACTGTGCCGTGCCTTACACAGCAGAGCACACCACATACAAGCAGAATGTTGGGCTAACCCCGACACAGAGCAAGCAGAACAAGGCAGCCGCGCTGCATCCCAGGTAACATCTGAGTTGAACTCAAGGCAACACAAACGGGGCACACATGCAAGCAGAAATGCTCCTTGACCCGCTATTTAAGACCCTAAATTCACCTAGGATTTTTTACCTCCAACAGGAGGGCAGGGCAGCCCAAATACGCTGCACTTCTAGAGAAGTGCTTCTATCTTTTGATCGAGCCAGGAGTAAGCGGCCCTTTGTTTCCATCCCCACACCCATCCCCACACCCAAACCCGTCACAAGCAGATTCAATGCAAGTGTCTCCTCAAATCTGCCCCAACTTTTCACTTACACAAAGTTGTGAGACATCTCAACGCGTTCCCCTGCACAAGCAGATTCTGTATAAAGGGATCCCCTCCCCTCCTCTTATCTGCCCCGCCTTTTCCCCCTCACCACGACCACCCTTATGGCAGCAGCGGATTGGGATTTGTATGGGGTGGGATGGAAGCTCCTGCATGCTCCTCCCCTCCTCCCCCCGTCTTGAAACTGCTTCCTCCCTACTGAACACCCCCCCCCTCTTTTCTCCACTACCCTTAAGGCAGCAGCAGATTGGGATGGAAAGGGATGGAAGCTCCTACATGCTCCTCCCTTCCCCTCCCCGCTCCTCCCCCCCCCTTCCTCCCCCCCTTTCCTCCCCCCCCTTTCTCCCCAACCCTCCCCCCCTTGCCTCCTCCCTCCGCTCGTGAAACTGTTTCCTCCCTACTGGAAGCCCACAGTCCTTGTGTTTTGGTTTCCGCAGAAACCACACCTGCTGCTGCTGCTGCTGCTGCTGCTGCTGCTGCTGCTGCTGCTGCTGCTGCTGCTGCTGCTGCTGCTGCTGCTGCTGCTGCTGCTGCTGCTGCTGCTGCCCATGTCAGCACCCCGAATTGCACGGACGCGCCTCGACACACACGCACACACGCAGAACACACATAAAATTCAGCAGGACCACCCCTAAACGCACCACTACGGCTCACACCAACAGTCACCACCTCCCTCCCATCAGCATCCTGTACTGGGGTTTCTTGCTCTGGTCTCGCCTCACTCCTTGCGCGTTACTCCTCTCCCCTGCCCCACCTGCAAAAACACCCCTAAACACACCCCTCACAGAAATAGTACCCACTGTATCTAATTTTATCTAAACAACAACGCAGCAGTTGCTGCTGCAGCCCTTCCCACCATTCCTGCCCTTGCCACCACTCCTGCCCTTGCCACCACTCCTGCCCTTGCCACCACTCCTGCCCTTGCCACCACTCCTGCCCTTGCCACCACTCCTGCCCTTCCCACCACTCCTGCCCTTGCCAGTACTGGTGCTTGTACAGGTTGAACAGGATTACACTGCCAGCAATCCCAAGTTCCCTGACGCACCTGAAAGCTACTTTCTGACGCACCTGAGGCACCTGAAGCACCTGAAGCACCTGAAAATACCTGAGGCACCTGAAGCTACCTGAGGCCAGCACTCAGAGAGTCTGTCCCAACAGCACCTGAAGCACCCTCCGCTGCTGCTACTGCTTCTGATGTCGACCCTCCCCCAGTCCCACCCTCCCCCCGCCTGCTGCTGCTGCCTCCCCCACGGCTGTCCTCCACAGGTGCTTCCCTAGACCCTACAGTTGCCACCGCCTCAGATACCCCCTCTGCTGTCCGCGTGCATCCCCCTCCTCCTCCCCCTGCTCCTCCTGCTCCTGCTCCTCCTGCTCCTGCTCCTCCTGCTCCTGCTCCTCCTGCTCCTGCTCCTGCTCCTGCTCCTGCTGGTGATTTTTCTCGTTTTCCCACCACCCCTTCCTCTCCTTGCTTCTTCTTGCTTGTCCTCCCTCCTCCTCTGCTTTGACTTCCTTCACCCCCACTCCCACCCACTCCTCCCTTCACCACACCATCACAAGCACCATCAGCAGCCAGAGCAGCAACCGCAGCACCAGCGCCAACGGCGTCAGCAAAACCATCAGTGTCACTCCCACCACTCCCACCAACACCATCAGTAGCATCAGCAGCAGCAGCACCACCCCCAACCCCACTGCCATCCCCACCAGCAGCAACACGCATACTCCTAGGCTCAGCTGCAGCGGCAGCACCAGCACCACCACCAGAACCACCACCCGCAGCAGCAGCACCAGCAGAAGCACCAGCAGCAGCACCAACACCACCACCAGCAGCAGCAGAAGCGGCACCAGCAGCACCAGGAGCAGCATGCTCGTGGCAGTGGCGGCGCCAGAGGGATCGATACGTGGCCTCCAGGTCACGGGTGAAAGCAGGGCCGTCACAGAGGCGCGAAGAGAGCATGCGTGGGCGCATGGAGGCTCGGAGCGACGCCAGCTGCGGTATGTCCGAAGCTAGCTGCGTGGCTATGGCCACGTACTCGTCCTCGTTCCGAGCCACCAGGTTCGGCAGGCCTGGAGGAAATGGAGAGGGGACAGGAGGTACGTGATTGGTTGGCAACTGCTGCGTACTCGTCTTCGTTCCGAGCCACCAGGTTTGGCAGGGCGAACGGAAGGGGTGCGAGGTGCGGCAGGGGAAAAGGACCCACTCACCCATATTCGTGAGCAGCGAGACGCCCACACTGTTGGCATGCACTCGACTGGCCATGGTGACGCACGGCACACCCATGAAGAGAGACTCGCACGTGGTGGTGGTGCCGGCATAGGGGAACGACGGTAGCAGCAGGGGTGAAAGGCAGACCCACTCACCCATGTTTGTGAGCAGGGAAACGCCGACGTTGTTTGCATGCACTCGACCGGCCATGGTAACGCACGGCACACCCATGAAGAGCAATTCACACGTGGTCGTAGTTCCCGCATAGGGGAAGGAGTCCAGGCTGATATCCATCACGGCGTAGCTCTGCATGTGCTCGTGATTCAGCAGCACGAGAGGCAGCAGATACACCCCCAGGGGAGCAGCAGCCGGGGGGAAAAGAGGACCCACTCACCCATATTTGTGAGAAGCGACACGCCGACATTGTTAGCGTGCACGCGTCCCGCCATGGTAACACACGGCACGCCCATAAACAACGACTCGCATGTAGTCGTGGTGCCGGCATAGGGGAACGAGTCGAGGCTGATATCCATCACGGCGTAGCTCTGCATGTGCTCGTGATTCAGCAGCACGAGAGGCAGCAGGTCGATGCGGAGGGGGGAGATGCCGTGGGACTCGAGCTGCGCCATGAGCTGCTGGCTGATGGACGCGCACGTGAAGGGCTTGCACTTTAGCATCAGGCGCGACCCGGGGACTGCGAGGAGGATGCGCGCCCACAGGCGGACCACGGCAGGAGTTATCTGTGGCAGTGGGAAGACAGGAGGGAGTGAAGAAGGAGAGTGAGAAGCAACGGTGGTACCACCAGCAGCAGCAACGAGAGGCAGCAGGTCGACGCGCAGGGGGGAGATGCCGTGGGACTCGAGCTGCGCCATGAGCTGCTGGCTGATGGAGGCGCACGTGAAGGGCTTGCACTTTAGCATCAGGCGCGACCCGGGGACTGCGAGGAGGATGCGCGCCCACAGGCGCACCACGGCAGGGGTGATCTGGGGTTGGGGAGTGGGAGGAGGGAGGAGGGAGAGATTGGTAGGGAGTGGGAGGATAAAGTGGAGGGAGGAGGTGGGAGGAGGGAAGAGCCACTATCCACTATCCATGCACGCATTTCACTGCACCACACTGCATGGCACTACAGTGCACCGCACCGCACTGCACTGCACTGCACTGTACCTTGGCGAGGTTGTTGAAGCTGCCAAACGTCACAAAGCCATTGGCCACCGCAGGCGAGGGGGACACCGGCCCCGCTTCAGATGAGGGGGTGTAGCAGAGGAAGCATCCTGGAAGCCGCACCAACTCCTCTACGTGCCTGTGAGGTACAGGAACCGAGGAGGGGGGAAAGGAGGGGAGAGGCGAGAGTGGGATTGATTGGAAGATTACTGTTAAAGGAGAGTCTAATTATCCAATACATCTGTTTCAGAGGGCAGCGGCACAGACAGTGCCCCTGGCCCCTGGGTGATGTTGGGGTGTCCTATCCACGTGGCCTGGATGGGCGCTGGTCACTCCACTCCATCCCCCAAAACCCAAACCCTACCTCTGCGTGCTGCTTGGAGGTTCAGCCAGGCCATCAGCGAGCCGTTAGTCAATGGCCCTCAGTCCCGTAGTGTTGGGGTATCCGATCCACGTGGCCTGGATGAGCGCCGAGGGGGGAGGGCAGGAGTTCCTAACCTACCTCTGGGTGCTGCTTGGAGGATCGGCCAAGGCGTCAGTGAGGCGGTAATCAATGGCCCTGAGCCCCGTGGTATTCGGGTATCCGATCCAGGTCGCCTGGATGGGAGCGGCTTTGCACGCCATCACGCCCAGCCGGTTGTTGGCCGTGTGCCCTGTCAGCTCCACCAGTATGTCCACTCCATCTTCCCGCACCATGGCTGCCACCCGTCGCTCGTCCACCCCGAATATGTCCCGCCACACTCCGCCCTTGCTCTGCACTGCTTCTTTGAACCGGCTGGTTTTCCCGTCCGCCTGAGCCCAGGGCAGGGAGGAGGGACCCAAAAGGGGGGAGGGGGGGGTGGGAAAGGTGCAGGGAGGAGGAGGGAAGGGGGAGAGAGGGGGGGGGGGAAGGAGGGAAGTGAAGCAGGGCATGGGGGGCAGAGAGAGAGGCGTGTGAGTGAGTGAGGCGCCCTGTGCCCTGTCAGCTCCACCAGTATGTCCACTGCGTCTTCCCGCACCATGGCTGCCACTCGCCGCTCGTCCACCCCGAATATGTCCCGCCACACCCCGCCCTTGCTCTGCACTGCCTCTTTGAACCGACTCGTCTTGCCGTCCGCCTGAAGGGGAAGGGGTGGAGGGGAAGGAGGAGAGGGATTGGAGAACAGAGAAGATTGGAGGGGCGGAGATGTGAACACAAGCATGTGAGGCAGAGGCAGAGGCGTAGTAGGAGACGGAGCGGGTGAAGTAGTCGGGTCGGGCGAGATGTACCCCACCACCAGCCTGCACACCTGTTAACCCCCTTGACTCACGTTGACTAGCGTTGACTCACCTTGACTACAGCCGAGTAAACAACCACTTTAACAGCATTGGGGTCGTGATAGGTGAGGGGCGCCTCTATGAAGTAGGAGACGGAGTGGGTGACGCAGTCGAGTCGGGCGATATGTACCCCACCACCAGCCGCCGGTCCCGTTCATCCCATTAAGCCCACGCCCACCCCATTGACTCGCGTTGACTCACTCACCTTCACCACGGCCGAGTAAACCACCAACGGCGTTGGGATCATGGCAGGTCAAGGGCGCCTCTATGAAGTAGGAGACGGAGTGGGTGAAGTAGTCCGGGGATATGTACCCCACCACCAGCCCCTGCTCCCGTTGACCCGATTGACTGGTGTTGACTCACCTTGACCACGGCCGAGTACACAACCACTTTGACCACACTGGGGTCGTGGTAAGTCAAGGGAGCCTCAATGAAGTAGGAGACGGAGTGGGTGAAGTAGTCGGGCGATATGTACCCCACCACCAGCCCCTGCTCCCGTTGACCCGATTGACTCGCGGTGACTCACCTTGACCACGGCCGAGTACACAACCACTTTGACCACACTGGGGTCGTGGTAAGTCAAGGGAGCTTCAATGAAGTAGGAGACGGAGTGCGTGAAGTAGTCGGGCGATATGTACCCCACCACCAGCCGCCGGTCCGGGCGGCACGAGTTGGGCCACGAGGAGAAGCGCGGGAAGAGGCGCGAGAAGCGCTCGCCCCAGTCCCTGCAATGAGACGGGGAAGGGGGGAAGGAGGGGGAGAAGAGAGCAAGTCGAGTTAAATGAGGCCTGAAAACCGCTTACCCCAGTCCCCCGTGCGAGAAAGGGGGAAGGAATGGGGACGGCAGGGTAAAGGTTTGGTTGTGGCTTGAGTAACTTTGACTGAAAAAGGGGGAATGAAGCTTGGGAAGAGGTGCAAGAAAAGCTCAGCGCAGTCACTGGCGTGAGCGAGGGGAGAAGCGAGTGGGGATAACATTACAGGTGTAGAGCTAATAACTTGAACGGAGATATGAGCAGAACCACAAAACCCACTCGCCCCAGTCCAGGGATGGCATGACATGCAAACAGAAGCAGAAGGAGAACAGCGAGCCACGAACACCTACCTTTCCCTCTGCCCCCCCACTCCCTCCCCCGTCTCTCCCTCCCGTTTTTACTTCACGTCTCAACCTCTCGGCTCCTCACTCACACTCCAACGTTTCTTACCGGTGAGCAACAAACAGTGCGTCGTCTAGCCCATCATGGATGTAATTCATTGCCAGCAGACGGTTCTGGGGAGGGGAGGAGCGGGTGGGGAAGGGGCGGGAGTGGGGGAAAAAGAGAGTGTCGAGGGCAGGCACACAGGTTGAGGCATTACGAAACAGTGAGTCGTCCAGCCCATCGTGAATATAGTTCATTGCTAGTAGACGGTTCTGGGAAGGGGAGAGGAGGGGGAGGAGGGGGAGAGGGGGGGTGGAGGAGGGTAGGTGGAGAAGAATGGCAAGAGCAGCAACAGAGGGTGGGGCAGGAGGAAACAGTGAGTCGTCCAGCCCATCGTGAATATAGTTCATTGCTAGTAGACGGTTCTGATGAGGGAGAGAGGGGGCGAGGAGGGACGACGGAGGAGTGGGGACAGCAGCAACAAAGGCCAGCAACAAAGGGCAGCAACGAAAAGCAGTAAGAAAGATTCGGATGAGGGTGCAGACGAGACGAGACTACAGCAGCAACGAAGGAGGGAAACAGAGTAGTATCGCTAAGTGAGAGCGATACTAGCGATACTGGCCGGCATCTCGAGTAGTATAAGACCTGACACACACACAACTCCTCGAGTCGCGTACTTGTTCACCTGCATGGCATTCCTTAAGTAATGTGTGTGTGTGTGTGTGTGTGTGTGCGTGCGTGCGTGCGTGCGTGCGTGCGTGCGTGTGTGTGTGTGTGTGTGTGTGTGTGTTTTGTTCTTGGATCGAAAAGACATCTCACCTGGCCGGCATTTCTGGAGTCGGGGTCGATGGCAAGGCACTGCTGGTACGCCTCTATGGCTGCTGGGATGTTGCCCGCGTCCCTGTGCAACACACCTGATGAGCGGCGATAAAGGGGTGGATGGGGAAGGAAGGAGACAAGAACGAGAGGGGAGATGAGATGGCAAGGCACTGCTGGTACGCCTCTATGGCTGCTGGGATGTTGCCCGCGTCCCTGTGCAACACACCTGATGAGCGGCGATAAAGGGGTGGATGGGGAAGGAAGGAGACAAGAACGAGAGGGGAGATGAGATGGCAAGGCACTGCTGGTACGCCTCTATGGCTGCTGGGATGTTGCCCGCGTCCCTGTGCAACACACCTGATGAGCGGCGATAAAGGGGTGGATGGGGAAGGACAAGAACGAGAGGGGAGATGAGATGGCAAGGCACTGCTGGTACGCCTCTATGGCTGCTGGGATGTTGCCCGCGTCCCTGTGCAACACACCTGATGAGCGGCGATAAAGGGGTGGATGGGGAAGGAAGGAGACAAGAACGAGAGGGGAGATGAGATGGCAAGGCACTGCTGGTACGCCTCTATGGCTGCTGGGATGTTGCCCGCGTCCCTGTGCAACACACCTGATGAGCGGCGATAAAGGGGTGGATGGGGAAGGAAGGAGACAAGAACGAGAGGGGAGATGAGATGGCAAGGCACTGCTGGTACGCCTCTATGGCTGCTGGGATGTTGCCCGCGTCCCTGTGCAACACACCTGATGAGCGGCGATAAAGGGGTGGATGGGGAAGGAAGGAGACAAGAACGAGAGGGGAGATGAGATGGCAAGGCACTGCTGGTACGCCTCTATGGCTGCTGGGATGTTGCCCGCGTCCCTGTGCAACACACCTGCAAAGGAATGGAGGGAGGTGAGATGGCAAGGGGGGTGGGGGAGTGGGGAAGGATTAATTGCAAAATATTTCCTGATTATTTAAATGTAGAGGGATGATTATTTAAATGTAGAGGGATGATTATTTAAATGTAGAGGGAAGGTGAGATGCGTGCAGGGCAGGGACGTTGCCACATGCCCGTGGAACACCCCCACGTGGCAAGAGGGAGCACTCCCTCTTGCCCACCGCCACGTGATAAAACTAGTGTTTTGAGACGTCTCAAAACGAGACGTTGCCACATGCCCGTGCAACACGGCCTCTTGCCCACCGCCCTCTGCTCACCTTGGTTGTAGACGTGTTGTAAGCCTACCATCCCATCTAAGGTGCACCTTTCAAGCACCTAAGGTGCACCTAGACAATCCATCCATCCCACCCACCCCACTTCCCTTCCCTTTCGCCTTCCCCACTCGCCCCTACTACTCACCCAGGTTGTTGTATGCCTCTGCATACGCGGGGTTGGCGAGAATGGCCGCTTGAATCATGTTGAGTGCTAGATCCATCTTGCCCTGCGAGGGGTGAGACCGTGAGGGTGGTGGTGGTGGGAGTAGGGGGAGGTGTGGGCGTGGTTGGGAAGCATAACGGCTTGAATCATGTTCAGTGCTAGATCCATCTTGCCCTGCGACGAGGAAAAAGAAGGGCGGAGGGGGGAAGAAGAGAAGGGAGACAGGGCGGGAAGGCGTGAATAACAGTGGCTGCTTGAATCATGTTGAGTGCTAGGTCCATCTTGCCCTGCGAGGGGGGTGGGTGGTGTGGTGTGGCGATGGGAGTGGAGGAAGGGGGAGGTGTGGGTGCGATCGGAAACCATTACCACTTGAATCATGTCGAGTGCTAGGTCAAACTTGCCCTGCGAGGGTGGAGAGAGGAGATAGGGCAGGGGGGGGGGAGAGGTGGAGAAGAGGTTGGGAGCCGCGCCATGGTTTGAATCAAATCGCGTGCTAGTCCATCTTGCCCTGTGGGTAGAGGGATGAGGGGGAGGGAGAGGTGTGGAGGGGCTTGAATAATGTTCAGCGCCCGGTCATTTTCCCCTGAGGCGGGAAGTGGGGGAGAGAGGAATAGGGGAGAAGGCAAGAGATAGCGCGGTGGCAGCGGGTGAAAAGGTGGGGGGAGGGGGAGGTGGGAACGTGTGAATTGAATACCATTGCGGGAGGACGCGACGTGAAACATGTTGAGAGGGAGGAAGGGTGAGAGAGGTGCGCATGAGATCAAGCATGCGGCACAGCACGCCCATGAGTTGGCATGGGATAGGATGCACGCACCACGCACCTGCATGGGGCGCACCACGCACCTGCACAGTATACACGACCCCGAGGTTGTTGAGCGACAGCGAGAAGCTGGGCTTGATGTTGCCACCGCTGCTGTTGCTGCTGCTAACGACCAATCACAAGCCATGCAAGCACCACACAAGCCATGCACGCACCACACAAGCCACTTTCCAGCACCCTCACCTGCACGGTATACACGACCCCGAGGTTGTTGAGCGATTGAGAGAAGCTGGGCTTGATGCGCAGCGCCTTCTGGTAGCACTCCACCGCCTTATCCAGGTTGTCTCTGTCCTTGTATATCACCCCCAGGTTGTTGCACGCCTCGGCACATTGAGGATTGAAGTGCAGCGCCAGCTCGTACATTACCACTGCCTGGAAACGAGGAGAGTGTGCAGGAGGGGAGGGCAATGGAGGAGAGGGGTGGTTGGCGGTGGTCAGTCAGAGGCAGAAGGGGGAATCATTGGGGAGGGGGGAGAGGGGAGTGGTATGAGCAGCGTCTTCTGGCAGCACTCCCCGCCTTGTCCAGGTTGTCTCTGTCCTTGTATATCACCCCTGCCTGTGTGGAAAAGGGCAGAGGTGGCAAGGAGAGGGGGCGGAAGCGGTGGTGCTTGGGTTGCTGCCTGCCTGCCTAGTTCCTTGCGTGTGCTGTACACGATCACACTTGAGCATCTCTCCTGATTTTTTAGTCGACTCAAAAATCGCCTCATCACACGCGTGCTGTGCACGATCACACTTGAGCATCTCTCCTGATCCAACCCTCCTAGGTTCTACATCTGCTGCGTGTGTGCGTAAATGTGCAGTGCACATGCACGTGGTCTCACTCACTCACCATATCAAACTTGAGCATCTCCCCGTAAGCCACCCCCAGGTTGTACATGGCATCGGCGTAGTGCGAGTTGAACAGCAGCGCCCGCTTGTAGTGCGCCACGCCTGCTGATATGTCGCCCTCTAGCTTCACCTGTCATGGGGTGGGTGGGGGGAGGGGGAGAGAGGGGCGGAGTTTGTGTGACCCAGCATGCTTGTACTGCGAGTTGAACAGCAGCGCTCGCTTGTAGTGCGCCACGCCCGCTGATATGTCGCCCTCTAGCTTCACCTGTAGGAAGAACGGGGTGGGGGAAAGAGGGGGTTTTGAGGGGAAGTGTGTGAACGAGATACAATGCTTGCAGTGCTGCTGCTACGCCCACCTGTCCACCTGTCAACGTCCACCTGTCAACATCCACCTGTCAACGTCCACCTGTCAACGTCCACCTGTCAACATCCACCTGTCAACGTCCACCTGTCAACGTCCACCTACCTTCCCTCCCAGCCGTACCTTGGTGCCCAGGTCGGTGAGTGCGATGGCAATGCTGCTCCCTGTGGCTGTTCCTGCCACTTTATCTTCCCTCCCTATTCCCTTCCTCCACCCCCCTTCCCCCCCTACCTCTCGGCCCTCCCCCAGCCATACCTTGGTTCCCAGGTCAGTGAGCGCGATGGCCATGTTGTTGCGTGCGATGGTGAAGTTGGGCGCTACCGCAAGACACCTGGTGAAGACAGGAAAGGGGTGGTGGTGGGGGGAAGAGAGTGGAGGGAAGGAAAGGTGGGCACAACAGGGGGTTGGGGAACAGAAGGGGGTTGGGTGAGTGCGATGGCCATGTTGTTGCGTGCGATGGTGAAGTTGGGTGCTACCGCAAGACACCTGGTGGCGGCATGAAGGGGAAAGGCGGGGGGAAGCGAGAGGGGGACAGCAAGGGGGTGGAGGAGAGCAGGGGAGTGGGTGAGCGCGATGGCCATGTTGTTGCGTGCGATGGTGAAGTTGGGTGCTACCGCAAGACACCTGGTGGCGGCATGAAGGGGAAAGGCGGGGGGAAGCGAGAGGGGGACAGCAAGGGGGTGGAGGAGAGCAGGGGAGTGGGTGAGCGCGATGGCCATGTTGTTGCGTGCGATGGTGAAGTTGGGTGCTACCGCCAGACACCTGTCAAGGAGGGGAGGAGAGGGGAGCGAGGATGGGGGAATGCAGGGAAGTAAGGTACGGGATGGAAAACATCAACGGGGAGACAGGGTCGGATGCATGTGGATTGGGGAATGTAGGGGAGGGTGAGTGCGGGGGTTGGAGGTGCGGGGGTTGAGGGGACGTAAAAGGGTGGGAAGAACATGGGCGGGTTGGGGATCATCGGGACGGGGCTTGAGGGGGGGTGGAGGTCACCCTGCTAGTGTCAGATTGCCATCCTCATTGTAACCTACATCAATCCTATAAGCTTAGGCTAGAGATAGCACCCAAACTTAGTTTGGGTGTAGACCTAGGGCTAACCCTAGTTGGGGGTTGGAACTCCAACCTTGACCCCAAGGTTGGGTTGGGAATTATTGGTCCCCCCAATAATGTTGAACCACTTGGTCAACATTATTGGTCCCCCCAATAATCCCTCAACCCAACTTATTGGTGGGGGCCAATAATGTTGGCTTGGTTCCAACCAAACCCCCCCCCCCTAGCACTACTATGTATACCTCCATCTCTCCTAATCAATTCAATGGTTCTTCTTCTCATTTTCTCACATGGTAATCAGAGCAAACACGGCTCACACCTTCTTCGATCCTAAAGAACCACACCTCCGCGTGCCTTACCACGCCCCCCTCCCTTACGCGACAACTAGGTCGCTCTTAGCGCCAAGTGCGCTCCTACGCCGTCACGGCCCCCCCCTCCCCGCGCTAAATTTCAGTACCCTTCCCTTCTTCCTAAGGTCAATTCCGCCCCTCCCCTCTCTCCCGCAAGCACGCTAACCGTCGGACCAACTACCGCGACCGACGAAACCCTAATCGGGGGCAACCGCCGCAAACGCGACGAACGCGGGCAACCGCCGCGGATTAGGGTTTCACGGGCGACCGCCGCGGACGCGACGAACGCGGGCGACCGCCGCGGACGCGACGAACGCGGGCGACCGCCGCGGACGCGACGAACGCGGGCGACCGCCGCGGACGCGACGAACGCGGACGACTGCCGCGGACGCGACGAACACGGGCGACCGCCACGGACGCGACGAACGCGGGCGACCGCCGCGGACTCGACGAACGCGGGCGACCGCCGCGGACGCGACCAGCGGAGGCGACCGCCGCGGACGCGACCAGCGGAGGCGACCGCCGCGGACGCGACCAGCGGAGGCGACCGCCGCGGACGAGACCAGCGGAGGCGACCGCCGCGGACGCGACCAGCGGAGGCTGATAGAATTCAAGAGTATGATTAGTAATGAGCCAACAAGGCTCTATAATACAAGCATGCAAGGAAGAGAAGGTTGTAGGAGGAGCTAACCCTATTGGCCAATAAGTTGGCCAATGGGTGAGGTGCCTTGTGGAGTAGGCAACCTCACAATGTGGCTAGGTTGGGATTGGTTGGTCTAAGGACCAAAAGTTGGCAAGTGCCAACCAAGGGCCAAGACCAAATCCAATCTTGACCAACCACAAAGTGTGGTTGGAGTGTACACCCAACCCCCCAAGAACCTAAAGGACTACACCTATTCTAGCCTATGAATGTTGTATATAGTGTACAATTACAACACAACCCCCCAACATGCATAAGGCTAGAAGATGTAATCAGGAGGCCGTCACAACTGGAGGAGGGGTGAGGCCAAGGAGACGCAGAAAGAAGGAGTGAGGTGCTTGGGGAAGAGCTTTAGTGAAGATGTCAGCGAGGTTGGCCGCCGAGTCGATCTTGCCAAGGCGAAGGTGCCCGGCCTCAACGAGATCACGAATGAAGAAGTAGCGAAGTTCAATGTGTTTGGAACGCCCATGATACACAGCATCCTTAGTGAGGTGAATGGTGCTGGCATTGTCACACCAGATTGTGGGACAACGCTGGGGTGCACCAAGCTCATCGAGGAGGAAGGTGAGCCAGCGCGCCTCCTGCGCAGCCATGGTTGCAGCGTAGAGCTCTGCTTCGCAGGAGGAGAGGGCGACGGCAGAGGAGCGTGTGGACCGCCAGCTGATGAGACCGCTACCCAGAGAGAAGCCATATCCCTGAGAGGACCGCCTGTCCGGGCGAGAGTCAGCCCAGGAAGAATCACTGTAGCCATTGAGGAGGGGATGGGAGGGGCCGCCAAGGGTAAGGACATAGTCTTTTGTGCCACGAATGTAGCGAAGGACGCGCTTGGCGGCCTGCCAGTGTTCCTCTGTGTGCTTGCCAGCGCCAACGAAGCGAGCGAGGACGCTGATGGGGTAGGCAAGGTCAGGACGAGTGGAAACCATGGCATACATGAGAGAGCCGATGAGTTCAGGATAAGGATGGGAGGAGGCAGAGGGTGAGGAGGGTGGGGAGAGGTGGTGCCCAACTGAGAGTGGAGTGGGCTGGGGGCTGCCGCGCGCCATTTCAAACCGGTCCAAGACTTGCTGGAGATAGTGACCCTGAGAGAGGGAGATGGTGCGGGCGGAGCGGTCGCGAGTGATGGTCATGCCGAGGTAGTGCTGCAGCTCTCCCAAATCTTTGCACTTGAGCCGTGTGCCCAGCTCGGTCTTGACTTTCTCGAGCTCGGCAAGATCGGCGGTGAGGAGAATCATATCGTCAACATAGACGAGGATGTAGAAGGGGGAGGGGGAGGTGCGGAGGAAGAGGCTGGCGTCAGAGCGGGAGGTGTGAAACCCAAGCTCGGCAAGGGTGGCAGCAAGCTTGGCATGCCATTCCCTGGGTGCCTGGCGGAGCCCGTACACTGGTCGGCGCAGCTGCCAGACGGAGTCGGCGGGGAAGGGGAGGTGGAAACCCGCTGGGCGCTCCATGTAGATCAGTTCACGTAGCACGCCTTGCAGGAAGGCGTTGGAGACATCCATTGAGTGGATCTCCATGTTGAGGCGAGCGGCGAGGTCAAGTACGGCGCGAACGGTAGCAGGTTTGGCGGTGGGGGAGAAGGTGTCGAAGAAGTCAAAGCCATACCGCTGCGTGAAGCCCTTGGCGCAATACCGGGCCTTGTAGACGGGCGGCTCTCCTGGTAGCTGTTTGACGCGAAACACCCACTTCCCCTTTACCACGTTCGTAGAGGAGGGAGGGCGAGGCACATCAACGAAGGAGGAGTTGGCAATAAATGCCTCGAGCTCCTTGATGATGGCGGCGAGCCAGAGCGGGGCGTCGGGGCAAGCCATGGCCTCCTCATACGTGGTTGGGATGAAGGTGGAGGGAGCAGAGGAAAAGGCGAAGACTGGTGTTCCAGAGAGGTCAAAGGTGATGGGAAGGAGGGAGGGGTCAGAGAGGTGGAGGTCAAGGAACTCCTCATGGGAGTCCTCAGAGAGGGAGGTGTGGAAGGCGCGGATGACCGCAGGTGCCGCTGCTGGTGCCGCTGCTGGTGCCGCTGCTGGTGCCGCTGCTGGTGCCGCTGCTGGTGCTGGTGCGGATGCCGCTGCTGGTGCCGCTGCCGATGCCGCTGCTGCCGCTGCACTCGCCGCTGCTGGTGCCGCTGCTGGTGCCGCTGCGGTGGCTGCTGCTGGAGCTGCTGCTGCTGCTGCTGGAGAGGTGGTTGAGGGGGCTGGATGCAAGACAGCCTGGAAGAAGTAGTGAAGGAGGGGGGAAAGAGGAGGGAGGGTAGAGGTAGAGAGGGTAACAGGGGGCGGTGCACCAAGGATACTGTCACGTGACCTGGTGTGAGGATACCGGGTGAGTATGGCGCGGGGAGTGGGGGAGGGAGGTGAGGGTTGGGAGGGAGGGGGAGGAGGGGCACCAGGGGAGGAGTGAGCGGGGGAGACAGGGGAAGACAGGGGGTCCGGGTCAAAGATGTCACCAGACGAGGGGGGGACACCGTGGGACTGGGAGGGCGGAGGGGGAGGGGGTGGGAGGATGGGGGGAGGAGGGAGGAGAGGGGGAGGGGTGGTGTCAGACCAGACAAGGGGACGAGTCAGAGGTGGGAGAGGGTCAGTGGACGGAGGAGAGGAATAGTACGGGGTGGATTCGTCAAAGACGACATCTCTGCTGCGAAATAGTCGACCGGAAGGGGGGTGGAGGAAAAGATAGTCGGGGGAAGAGGGGTTATGACCAAGGAAAATGCAAGGAAGGGTACGAGGGGCAAGCTTTCCCAGGGAACGGGATCGGTCAGACGGGTGAATGAGGACATATGCCTTTGAGCCCCAGACTCGAAGAGGGGAGACATCGGGTTTGGTCTTTGTCCATAGCTCAGTGGGGGTGGTGGAGGGGAGGAGGGGGTGAGGGTAAAGGTTAGTAAGGAGGGCGGCATGAAGGAGGGCATAGCCCCACAGAGAAGGGGGGCATGAGGCGTGGACAAGAAGACACCGAGCGGTTTTGGTGATCTCCCGAACACGGCTCTCAGCGACACCGTTCTGCTGTGGGGAGTGTGGGAGGGTGTAAGTCTGAAGAATGCCGCGGGATTGGCAATAGGAGGAGATTAGGTTGTTTAGGAACTCACCGCCACCATCAGAGTGAAGGCGGCGAACAGGGCGCCCAAAATGGGTGTTCGCTTGTTCGAGCCAGGCAATGATCGCAGGCGGGGCGTCCGCCTTCGTTCGAAGGAGAGAGACGGACGAGTACCGACTGTGATCATCAACGAGCACGAGAAGG